ATTGTTGCATTAGACTGACTCAACAAAGTAATTGTCAAGTCTCACAGGAGTGAGACAATAAGCTTCTAAGAAGCCTCACTTGACTATGTTTAAATATTAGACATATTGCTTTGTTCCCTGCTGGGACTCAAGGGAGTGCCAGCACACAGATCACAAGATCCCGTCTTCCAAGGATACAAAATAGTTGTGTAACAAACAAACTGAGAAAAGCAATTTGAGCTCAAAATTTATCCAGCTTGAAATTCCCTCTGAGTTTATTTGAGAGGCATTTACATAAATGACCAAGGAGTAACAAAAAACCTTTTGCTCATTACAGATTTTAGGTTAATATACACATATACAGGCATAGATATAGTGTTGAACTCAATATGACACTGAAAGATTTTTGTAGGATGTTTTGATTGTAATGTTACATCTAATCAACTCCATTAAAAAGACTCAGATTTATTAAAAACACTGTTTCTTATTGAATTACATACTACTGCATTACTAAGATTTTTTGAATGCCAGGAAAGAAATGGCAACTCCCCATATTGAGATAAATGGGGTTACTAGAGGATCCAAACAACCCTGGTTTGCTCTGCCATTTCTCTAAAAGCTGTAAGTAAAATGTTTGGAAACAGAAAGAATTTATGGAGGTTTGAAAAAAAAAAAAAAGCCTCTAAACTAAACAAAACAGAACAGGTACTCATCCATGACATGCAATTAGTTCTGTTCCAAGTACATAATCCTGTGAGAAGGCTCTGAAAATTTTATTGCTCTAAAATAAACAAATTATCTGGTTTATGTTTTTATCATTATTCAGAATGATGCACAGTGCCATAAAATTGAACAAACACTTTTCCAAGCCAGTTAAATGTTATGCCATCATGACAAGTATTAAAATAATCACAACTAAGAGACTGGACGTCTTGGAATTTTAGGGTTTTTATACCACCAGTTTGTTGAAGTTGAAAGGGTTCTGGAAACAGACAGTAAAATTAAAAAAAAAAAGTTAGTTCTTGAAACTGTATTTTTTTTCTTATTAATATAACTCAGCTTTCTAGAAATTATTATTTATAAGTTTAAGTCAATTATGTATTACTGTATTTTTTTAGCTACCTTTGCTATAATTATGGTATGCTGTTATTAGAAACCAAAAGTTTATACAGGGATGCATAATATAATTTGAGTGTCACAGCTTTTAATTTTTAGCACAAAAGAAACTATGAGCCACCCAGCTTAGGGAGAACAGAATTTTAGCTGAAACATATTGCAACCAATATGCTGACAATGCAGACTAATTCAGTGAGCAGTCTTAACTGACACATATTTTTTGGGGCTCTTTAAAAATTTACTACCGTGCATTTAGTCTCATATATTGGGTTGATAAAAACCATCCAAACAAAAAAAAACCCAAGCCAACCAAAATTCATACAACAGAAATAAAATCCCAAAATAATATAAAGAAAACTGGGGGGAAACTGGAATGTGAGATTTGAATTAATGAGATATGAATTAAGAAAACAGGTCCATTTTATGTTATGTTCAAAGTCATAGGAGTCAAAACAGTTTAGACTAGGAAAGCAACAGAATCAGATCCATTCAGGAATAAATAGACATACTGAAGATTTACTGGTGAAAACCAAGCTGTTTACAGGAGCACACAAAAGTATCAAGCACCTGCTACTAACCCAGCCTCCCATTCATGGATAGAAAATCAAGGTGAAGAAAACCAAACAAAAGCATTTTTTCAGGTACCAACTTTAGAAAAACCATTGCTGTGAGCTGACTGATATGTAGAGACAAAGAAAACTTATTTTCCAAGAACAATCCAGATGGAAATGTCCTCACAAAACACTAGACGGTAAATAAAATTATATTTCAAGAACACCAATCTCCTTTTCCTGTAGGCTAGGAAAGTTCATTAACCTACATGTCTAAAATTTTCAAGAATTTTCCTTGTGGAACACCCACTATCTCCTTCTTATTCATGAAGAGCACTCAATAAAATTGTTGTATGGCAAAGAAAAGCTTGAATAACTCCAAGCACATGACAGAAGAATTAGCATGCTTTGTTTTAAACACAAGTTGTCCTCTCTAAATACAAAGTTAACCCCACAACAGTAAGTCATATTCTGGCCATGTTTAAAGATTAATAGTGCCACCAAAAAGCTTACATTTCTTAACTTTCTTTACCCTAAAAATACTTGAGGCTATACCACAGTTTAATGTGGGAAAAAAATTCCAGGTGAAGCTTGGTGGGTTTTTTTTCTCTCAAGACACATTTTGACTTAGTTGGCTCAGCACTGTGGTTGATGGCCACATGCAGCCCATAACAGCCCCCAGACCTGCCTGTGACCCAGGATTTCAGAACTGATGCCCATAAAAGCCCAGAATGCTGCCTGAAGCACAACACTGGATTCACATACAAAATTCTCCCTTTTCACACCCTGGTGGAAGCAGTTGAGTGCGAGAAGCCACTGCAACACTACATTACCACTAACTAGTTCAATTTTTTGCATATAAAGACAGGACACAAAAATTAGGGCAGGGTTTTCATCAGCTATATTTTTCCATGAAATACAATAAACCAACTACTGTTTGCTAATACAAGATGTCCTAAACATTATAATTATGTATGTCTGTAGAAATAATTATTACTCTCAAGTTTTAATTCTGCTCAGCAGGTAATACTAATGTCTCTAAAATAATTCAATAAAATTAAAAAAGAAATTAAAGTAATTAGTTATTCACAAGTAATATTCCCTAGCATAATGTAAACAACCTATAGCTCTTCATTGTCTGTTAAGCACGTGACTTCATATGTCTTTTCCATTTATTTTATTTCCATTACATTATTGTATTACAATTCTTTGCAAAACATTGTGAAAGCCACACAGAGTACCACTGTACATATTAACAGTTTGAAATGTACTCAATGACACATTTGACTAAATTCATATGCCTCTTTTTAAAACCTTTCAGTTACTGATTTCACATCAGTAATTTTTCTTCCGCAATCTAATCAATGTACCAAATAAGATCTAGTAGTTAATATAAAAAGTACAGCTGTATGAAGCATGAGTTCACATTGCTGGCTACAGATTTACATAGTCTTCAAAAGCTGCTAGGGGTATATTAGCAACAATATTTATAAAACAGAGTACTTTCTCAGAAGTGCATAAGGATCGCTAAGAACCAGGGATAACCAAATGCCACGTGAGTAAGGGCACACTGCAGCTGCTCCATGGGCCACAGCACCAAGAGGTAGAACACACCTACCTGTGTTAAAGTGTGAGGGTCACCTACCCAGGAACACAGGCTAGCGAGGGTGCCAGGGTTAGGCAGAGGGAGAACTGTTCTCAATTTCTCTGCTGCCCCTAAACACCTAACTGGACCTAGAAGCTTGTATTCAACAGACACACCAGTGGGATTCCCCATTTAAGAGTTTAAGGATAAATAAGAACTAGATAAAATCAGAAATATCCTACAAAAGTGAAATCAAATTCACTAATGTGAATATTAGGAAGTAAACCTACGACACATAAATTTTTTTTTTCTTCTTTTAAGGGACCTTTTGACTCTTTCATTCCTTTCCTGATTTGTGCCTGTCCTACCCTCACATCCTTTTTGATGGGAGGAAAAAGAAATAAAATTTTCTTCGCCCCTCCTATCCTGCTATCCGTTTTTCCTGCTAGCATCTATGCATAATGGTACATCATTGCTTTTAGAGAGAATTCCCAAGATATTTCATTAGGTATCTCTCTGCCAAAATTTGTGATGTATTGAGACCAAAATGTTTCAAGTCCTGTAACATCATTGCAGAATTCTTATTCCAATATTGAGCAAGATCACAAACAACTGTCAAATCTATTATTATATTAGCATAAATGTTAAGACACTTTCTTTAAAAGTTTTTTGCTTTGAAGAAAAATATTTTACTTGTTTGTTGAACTCAAGAGATAAGTCAAACTTACATACCCAGATACACAAAACATTCCCCCTTAAGTGTCCTTAATATAATACAGTCTCATCAGTAGATTTTTTTCTGAAATTTGAAATTCAAAGATTTATTGATTCCCACACACAGCTATTGTTAAAACATCTTTGAAGGGCCTTTTTACTAAAATGAGTGCCAATTTTGTTTTCAGTTGCACTCAAATTGCCTGAAGTATGGGGTAACAATGCTAAGCCAAAGAAGGCCTTTATCAGCTGCAGTTTGAAGTACTGTAAACAAATTTATATAAAGCACCAGAAGATTTACATTATACTGTCACCGTTTCTTCTTCTGACCACATAACTCAGAATATGCAACTAAAGCTTACAATATTTTAAAAAGCATCAGTATCCTACAGCAACAATATAAAAAGTTAACATACATTATCAATCTTTCCTAAAGAGTTTTAAACCATGCTTCCTCACACTAGTTATGGAGCTGAGCAGCTGCCTGTAACTGGTTAGAGCATCCACTAGTAATCTCAGATGAGGTCTGAAGTTCCTCTAATCCTAATGTTTAAATTAAAAAGTTTTGTTGCAGACTCCTATGAGGTCAGGATTTCATCACTTCTTTCCCGTATTGAAGTCTTCATCATGGTCACCCTTGAAGGTGTTAATTTGGTTTCAAGAATAAGTTCTTTTTATTTAAATACTTTATAGCAACTTCTAAATGTATTTTGGGAATAATCTCAGTTTGGGAGAAGTTCAATTTCCAAAACACTCTCAACTTCCAACCTGTTTCCTACACATGACTGTTTCTGCAGAATGCAGATGGGGTGCATCAGGGGAGAGTGATAAATACATGATAGTTCATACTCAGAAAGGTACCATTCATTATTCTTTAGAAGGCACTGTGTAAGAACAATGAAGATGAGACACATGTAACAATAAAGTCGAGGCACATTTATCAGTTAAAAACCAAGATTCTGTATCTGTTAAGGTCCCCCAAGAATGTATGAGGATCCACAATCACCTCTTACTGGTGTCACCTAAACTGGTTAAGAGGGCCAAGTATTCAAGAATTGCATTTATAAAAAAATCCATCATGATGGGCATAACAGTGCACCCTGTCTTAGTGTAAAAATGCATCCAATTTCTTTTTGATATGTTCGAAAGCATCTTTCCCCATATAGTCCATGCGCCCTTCCTCCCATTTTCTCCGTTCATCTTCTGGAGTTGGTTTTGCTGGTTTGAAGTGAATAGACAGCTCTGAAACAAAATGTGCAACCTCATTCTGTGGGAAGAAGAAGAAGAGTGGGAAAACAGTAATTTGTTTTTTCTTATTTCAATACTGTGACATTAAACCATAAATGGTAAACTTCTGCACTGTACACTCCCAGTTAAAACAATGAAATAAACTATATTCAAATGTTCACTGCTGTTTTGATAATCTGACCTCATTTTCCCATGGTTTTACTACTTTCCATGGCATCTTTGAACACAAACATTTATTTTACTGATCTTAATTCAGATCTCGGCATACTCAGCAACAATACAATGAAAATATTACAAATACTGCCTAGTTAAAATAGAATATCTGCTACAATGAAGAATTTATAATTTATCTGTTCAAATCTTGTCTCTAACAAGCTTTCATGGGAACATACATTTCTAGAATTTTTCGTAACTAGTTTTATTTGAACTCCAGTGAGATCAATATTATCTAGCAGATGTGAGACACACTGTTTAATAAATTAATTCAAAATATAGACACTATTCATTACACCAACAGCTAGTTAATTTTGAATGACACTCCAAAATTGTAAATGCTGGTTCCAAGTTATGTTATCATAGGTGCACCAATGCAAGACACATTATTAGTAATAATTCCTACCACATAAAAGGAAAACTGTGTCCCCAATTGATCAATGCCAGCAAAAAAAGGCACATCCCAACAATTATAACCTGTAATAAAGATGGAATATAACAAGGACTAATCAAGGCAGCCACTAAAAACCTTCTTTCGGTACTACTCATAGAGTCTCATAGGAAAACAACCCATCTCACATTGTAAACAAAACTGAAATCAACAAGAACGGCTTTCTAGGGAAGTCTTCAAAAATTCAAGGTAAAATATTTCAGAATAGAATTTAATGGGCAGGAATCAGTGTCTTAAACTGCCTAAATGCCCTGGAATATCCATTACCTCTGCCAGTTTGGGGCAGATAAGGCACACGACTTGTGGAAGGCAAGGTAAGGTATTTCACATAACCAACATGCAGTAAGGTGTCAAGATTTCTTTCTTTGTCATTGGTAAGTTTTATCAAAAGCTTTGGAAGCCATTAACAAGATGACCAGAATCATAATGTTTTTATAAATTAAGAATTTTAGCTAGAGCCCAAACACCCCTGGCTGCACTGGAGCTACGGTTTTGTTTCTCAGTCTTTAAGTATTTCACCACAGTGCTTCACAATCATATCAAAACCCTCATTAGGAGAACGGCTGTGTGGTGTACCTTACAAATCCCTGACACCCTGCCAACCCCATAAACACCAAGTCTGCTGCTGTTGTCACACTGCCCACATGGACAAGTGTCCATAAATGCAGTGCAAGACCACAAAGGAAAGCCTAGTCACTCAGGCTCCTGCATGATCCCTTTCCACTTGCTTGGAAACACCACTTCAGCAGGTAAAAAAAACCCACAATAAAACAAAATATAACAGAACTAACAAACACAAAATACCCAAACAGCTTTGCTTGTGTTAGTATAGGAGAACTAAAATTAACACCATGCATTGATTACTCAGGGGTTAGTACAGGAAAATACACATTTAGAAACTCAAAGTTTTGAAAGAAAACTAGAAAGGGATCAAAACGCAGTATTGGAAACAGTTAAGGAATTACATGAATAAAAAATTAAGGAATTTATTTGCACATTGCATTATAATTAGTTGAGCTTTCCCAAAATTATGTTGGCAGCAAAGACCCACATGCAGTTATCAACAGATGTTGAATGCACAAAGCTACATGTACCATTTCTGAGGTTTCCTGAAATGCAGGTTGAAATACAGGTTGTTCTGAAGGTCTGTCAGGCTCAGAGGGACGGACGTTAGAATCTCTTGGTTCGACTTCACGTACAGGTTGCTAAAATACAGCCACTGAGGTTTTATTAGGGGAATATTTTCTCATCATTTCCTTTTCATGAGAATTCGTACAATACAATCCAATCACTTTCAGTCTTGGGGGTAAAGCAATGGATTGGGGGAAACCAAGGAAGCACATTATCACCAAGGAGAAAATTCATGTCACCCAGCTTTAGCTATCAAAAAAGGCATTGAATCAAAGCTCCTACTACAATGAATCTAGGATTGATTGTACCTCCAGAGGGCAGCTCATCTCATCCTAAAATAGGTTCAAAGTGGCTGTCATTTTTTAGTGACTACACATACAGCCTGGCAAGCAAGCTTACCATTCATGATTCCTACCATTCATGAGGCCAAACTTCAAGAAAAATCTCATTTCAGGATTATAGCTTGCTGTCACATAAGCTTTTTATATGTATGAAATAAGAACAGAACAAAGTATTTCAAAACAGAGGTAAAATAGATTGCCCAAAAAATATTGTCCCAAATATTTGCTTTTGACAGATAGCAAAACATAAATGAGTAGACAGATCCCATTCTAAAGTCTTTTCCCTCAAAACAATTCCACAAGTATATTGAAGCTGGGCAACAAAAAGTGGAACAATGGTATTCTTAAGTAAGAAGGGAATCAAGCTATTACTTTCCAATTAATATGGTCTTCTGATAAGCCAATACTAGTAATCAAAATACTAATAGGAATTTAAATTTTAATGAAACTACTTTAGTAGTAGAAACATGATTTTTTTACAACAGACATCTTGATAATGTGTCCCTATTTAGTTTGAGCCTTTCCAATGAAGTCAGATGCATAAGGCACACAAGAAAATAGATCCTTTGCAAATAAATTATTTTTAAGTTATGGAGCTGGAAGGTTTGCAATTTTCCTTGAGCTCCTTCACACTCGGAGAGGAACGGGAAGAAGCAGAGGAAGAGGGTGAATGGGAAAGGAAAATTACAGTTTTACTTTATAGACTAACTGTAGACTAAAGAAATTAAGGAAAGAACATCTTGAAAATTGTCTTCATCATTCTAGAGTGTAGTTCACAAATTACAATGCAGAGGACGTTAGAACACTAATTTTATTTTCTCCCAATTGTATCATGGGGTAATACAGTTTATCACACAATATGTAATGACTTACACCTGCAGAGGCATTGTGCTATTATGTCCAACTTAATTCCTGCATAAAACAAGGAGATTCAGTGCAACAGAAACACACAAATACAAGAAAAGTGACAAAAGAAACAGAAAGACTGTAATATTCATTAGTGGATTTTTTTCAAGGCTCTCCTTGTTGATCAAGTCACAGAAATTTGAGAAACAGCTTTCTGGGTCAATACTTGTGGGAAAAAAACTTTCTACAGAGGAATGATAGAAAGGATTCTAATTTAAATATATTAACTCACAAAAGTATTAATATTCAAAGTATTACTTTGGTAGCAGATTTTTTTTTATATTACATTTGATTAAGTACGTAACAACTTTGAATAAATAACCTCTTCCTAAAATGCAAAGCAAACTCTTTCAACTTCCAGACACATCATACATGCATAACTTAAGATTATAGAAAATAAATAGGTTTTAGATTATTTTTAATGGTGGTGAGAAAATTCAGTAGCTACAGTTAAATTGAAGATATGATCTTCCAAATCAGAAGCATAATGAAAGAATCTCCTTTTAGTATATGATTTGACTTTGTTTCTGCATATAATAATAAACAACACACTCACAGCTTTGAATGCGAGTTCCTCGGGTGAGCACGCTGTGGGATTTACTTCACCTGTCTGCTCTGGGATCTCAGGCTCTTGTATGGAACTGGCCACATAAGGACTGACCTTCTTCAGGGTAACTTCAACTCCATTGAATGTGTGCTAATGAAAACAAGATCATCTCACCACTAAAATACAATTTTTCAGAATGGCAATAACTTATTTGCAACAGTTGTGCTTCCTCAGAGGGTTCTCATCATTAAAGGAATAACTTAATAAATGCAAAAAAAAGTGTATGATCCTAGATTTAGAGCATGCTGCAGTTTAGGTTTTTGCTTTTTTGCACTCATGAGCATACCAGCATCCCAGCCTCATGAGGTAAATCTAACTGGTATTTCCACCTTCATTCACCATAGCTGAAATATTTCTTTAATATGCAGTGCCTTAAAAATTAAAGCATGTTAAAGTATAAGATCAAAAACAACCCACTCCTTCCTCTGCTTTCCACTTTGTCATGAGGTTAACAAGCCAAATTATTCTCTGGGGCTTTGATGGTAAATATTCAGCTGATCTTAAGGGGATTATGCAATTAGTTCAATTATGTTAATAATTTAATAATACAAAACATTATGAAAATATTTACATATGCATAAATGGGATCTAATATGTCACATCTGGATACAAAATTAAAACATGTACTTCTCCACATTTCTTTATGCTACTGGTTTCTAAGAAATCATCTATTTATAACAGATTTTTTTTATTCTATTAACGAAAAGCACATTTCATTTGAAGAAAAAAAGCATAAAGAGATCAGTAAATGTTCGATGACATAGGACTACTGCACATAACATCTTAAATACAATTAACACAGCTTTTGCAAATCTGATATATTTGTTATCACCTCATAAAATAAGTTATACTGTAGTTCTGAAAAGGTAAATTTTAGTACAGCTCAAGAGCTAGTTACATGGTCTATATCAATTTAACTAAAAGAAAAACAAGAGTCTGTTTTGTGGGCCAGATTTTCCCTTCTCTGGCTAATTTGTATCATATTTTGTATGCACATACATTACCATTAAAAATTTATCAATTAAGAAGATGGCTGCAGGGTATCTTGGGAAAGCAGATAGTACTAGAAATCCTTCCTAAACAGCTACTTTGGACACTTCAATACCAACAAACAGATACTAAGTTTTCCCACACATATTGGAATTGCATGGCCAGGTTTTGGTTAAAGGGTGATTCCAGGAGTAGCTTCTGTGAGAAGCTGCTGGAAGCTTCCCCCAAACCCAGTGGAGCCAATGGCTGCAAAATAGACCTGTCACTGGCCAAGGCCAAGCCCATCAGTGATGGTGGTAGCACATTTGGGATGAGAGATTTAAGAAGGAGGAAAATCCTTCTTCTTAAAAGAAGGAGGAAGGAGTTTCCTTGAAACTGGACAACTGCAGACAGAGGAGTGAGAACATGTGTTAGCAACAACCCTGAATGCATCAGAGTCACTGAAGAATGAAGGGGAGGAGGTGCTCCAGGTGCCAGAGCAGAGATAACCCTGCATCCCATGGAGCATCAGGATGTCGTTCTGTAGCCCATGGAGGTCCATGGTGGAGCACAGATCCACCTGCACCCCATGGTGGACCCCACACCACAGCAGGTGGATGTGTGAAGGAGGCTGCAACCCCATGGAAATCCCATGATGGAGCAGGGTCCTGGCAGCACCACTGGACCTATGAAGACAGGTGCCTGCAGTAGAGCAGGTTTGCTGGCAGGACTTGTGACTCCATGGGGGACCCACACTGGGACAGGCAGTGCCTAAGGGACTGCATCCCACAGCTCATGGGAAGGACTCATGTTGGGAAAGTCCATGGAGGACTGTCTCCCATGGGAGGGACTCCACACCTGGAGCAGGGAAAGAGTGTGAGAAAACCAACCCCTGAGGAGGAAGGAGCAGCAGAGACAATATGTAATGAACTGACCACAGTGCCACTGGTGGGGGGAGTCAGAGAAAACAGGGAGTAAAGTTGAAGCCAGGAAGATGTGAAGGATGGGGGTAGGTTTTGCAAATTTGGGGTTATTTCTCATTACTCTATTCTGACTTGATTGGTAATAAATTAATTTCCTGAAGTTCAACCTGTTTCACCTTTGATGGTACCTGCTGAGTGATCTCTCCCTGTCCTCATCCAGACCCATGAGCCTTTCCTTACATTTCCTCTCCCTTGTCCATCTTAGGAGGAGAGCAATAGCGTGGCTTTGGTGGGCACTTGGAATCCAGCCAGAGTCAGCCCACCACATCATAAAATTTCTTCCTCTACCAATTTTCAGAATTTTTGGTTTTGATTCCAACGTATTCCCACTAACTCCTTATCAGTTACCTTGCATTCCTCAGATTCTGATTCTTCCATCTTTTGAAGATTTTCCAACAAAGGCAATATACTGGCACTGTATATATTCCACCAGAGGGCAAGAAATGACAGTTGATGAGAAGATCCAGAGTTGGTGCCATCCTGCATAACTGTCTTTGTTTGAAGGCTGTATTTGTAGTTCCAGGGCTTTGTTGTTCCCAAGAAGTGAACAACTTTGGCATCTCTACCAAAACTGTAGAGAGTAAACACACAGGTCTATACATAATTTTTTTTTTCTTTTTTACCTTATATAAACTTCTAGAAGAAACATGCTTACTCACAGGTGAGGAAACTTAACATTTTGAAACAGCAACACATTTGAGATTATATATTAATATTTTGTTTCTATCTTCTTGGCTTAATTAATCTTGTTCAATATAGAGAAAACAATAAGTTACATTGCCATTTACTTCTAGCTGCTAATTCTAGTAGAAAAGTTCATTAAGGAAACTGACAGTCTCATGCAGTACTATTTCCCGTCCTCCTTCATGCTCTATTCACAAAAGAATACATATCACTTCAAATATTTAATCACCAAAATTGGGTATTACTGATCCCATATTAAAAATTACTAATAAATATACTAAGTTCATCTTCCAGTAAGAGTGTATTGTGCAACTGGAACAGAAATTCATGACACTCTGAATCTAACTTGCCTTTTTTCAGATAAGATGCTCAGCTGCATTGTCTGGAATCATATAATTAGTAGCACAAATTTCATTTCATAGAAGGACCTAAGGAAGGGCTCAAAAAGTTTAAGCAATGCCAATTGTTTCTCTAAGAAATTACTTGAGAACAAAGGAACAAGCTTGTCAGAACCTAATGCCAAAGTAATTACATTTTGTCAAAAATGAAAGAAGCTTCTTTGAAAGAACATAAAAGACAGTATAGCCAACTCTGGGATTCTCCCTGTGTCCAGACATTCACATTAAATTTAAGTTTCTATTGCATAGTCTTAACATAAGATCATTTGTGATACTGTAATGTATAATTAACAGAATATGCCATTATTAGTCTCTCTTACAAAGGACGTTCTTTAACAAACTACAGAGGTTTACAGAGGTGTTATTACTTACTGATTGAAAGCAGGAACATAGGTGTATACAGAGCTGCTGCTCAAGTTATAGAGGAAAGGCAAGTGTTTGCCAATGTCTGCTGTTGCCCAGTTGCTGAAGAAGCTGTTCAACAAGCCTTGATCACCTCCTGAAGAATACATAAAACAGTACTACCATAACATGTGTACACTCAAATTTGTATCAAAATTTGGACAGGAGTGAGACGGGGGACTGAGACTGGTGTGTCCATGGGACTCCAACTTGGACTTAAAAACATGGCCATGTGAGCCTGTCCAAGTGAATAATACCTGATTCACTCTGATGCAAGTTCAGTGTAAATGAAGTCCTAATGTACCATAAGAAGAAAGGAGTAGTGTTTGGTCTCCCTCAGAGCAGAAGACTGAAAATCAGATGTGTTTCTCTCTCTTAAGCCAGACAGCAAAATTAAAACTAATCGAGCAAGGTTCAGACACAATGTCCCTGCCGTTTTCTGGGAAACACAGTCCAGAGTAAGTCAGCAGGTCTTAAATACAGTCTAAGAGGCAAAGTTCTGCATCTTGAATTCCTACATAAAGCCCAGAGAACTCCTGCCCTCCTCTATTCTGCCTGATAGCATGGAAACTGTCTCGCACTTCATTCCTTCCGCCTTGCCCCTCACCATCAAAGCTGCCGTGCTCAGCAGCAAACTGGAGCAGCAGGTTGTAAGTCTTCAGGGAGGGCTGGAACACAAACACACCACTATTGAAGCAGTCAGGCCAGCCAGAATCAGGAGCTGCAGAAAACTCTTCTCGATCAAACAGTTCATCAACATTGCAAAGTACCTTATGGAGAGTAGGAAAAGAGAAAAAAAATGTTAGAATAAATGTGTGTCTAGAGCAAGAATTGTCAAATTAGTACCAATGGAGTAAATTGACAGTTTGGCCTAGTACATGGCTTGCAGAGTGTAAAAGTAGTGCCATTGTAAAAGGCAGAGGTCAGAACCTCTATTTTTGATATAATAAGGCAACAATAATTGTGATTCTCCATTATTTCTCTGATAAAATGCAAAGCCTGTGAAATTATTTAATGAATAATCAAGGTCCCTTTAAATATTATACCATGAAAACACACAATTTCCTTCTTTCTTAACTCACCATTCCATAGTCCATTATTTTTGATAACTACAACAGAACTAAATGAAAATTGGGAATCTAAATCATTTTAGTAAGCAACAGACTGCCTAAAGGGTAGTAGAAAAACTGTCTCTTCCTGCCAGTTTTCTGATGTAACTTAAGTTCAGAGATTTGCTTTTCTGTTTTCTTTTAAGCTTCACAAGGAAGTGGGAAAATCAATCAGGTTAAGGTAGAGATAAAGTTTGTGGAAAAGACAGCTGTGCAGTCAGTGAAAGTCAGGACCCCCACCTTTCACAGCCACTGTGAAAAACAGAAGAAAATTTTTTACAAGTAAAATTACTCAATTGAGTTTTTAAAAAAGACAAAAATTTGCCTTCCTCCTTTAACATTAATGTAAAGCAAGAAACCATAAGCCTTCCTCCTCAAGAAGAATAACTTAATTTGGTTTCTAATTCAAATACAATCCTATTAAATTAAAATGAATCCCAGTCTTTCAGAGTGAGCCATGAAAGCACAAAGGAAGGCTGACATGATTGTCCTCACCAAAATTATCTCTATGCATCTAAAAACTTTAAAAAAAAAAGTCTGGAACTTCTTTTTTTCTTATTTTAAAACCATCTTGCCTTCCTGACAGAATAATTCCAAACAAAAGTACATAAGAGAGATCTATTTTAAACTTGTGTCAGAAGACTCAGTACATAGAATGTGTGATCTCTTTTGAGGACAGTCCTGAGGCTACTCTCCAAACTGAATTTATTTTTATGCAGCCAGCAGAACTGTGAGAATTGCTAAAACGTGCCAGGATGGATCTCCTGTGACCCTGTGACCGCCAGCAAATCTGGTCATTTCACAGGCCTGAAGGCTGCCTGGCAAAGAAGCATCCCACAATCAGAGACAGACACAAATGTTTCCATGGCTCCCTCTCCACTCACCAAAGTGTCTGCATCCATGAAGACACATTTGCTGTAATGAGTAAGTGTCCAACAATGAAGCTTAGTGAAGGTTACACCCAGTTCTGGCCTCTGCATAAGAGCCAAATGGACTGAGTCAGCGCTGTCAAGCACATCCACCTCGATCACTTCATCAAATACGCTGCTGAGGACTGACCTACCAGAGAGAGCAGTGGAGAGAAAGAGGGGGATTTAGACAAGTTCATCAGAGTTCACTTCAGGCGTGAGAACAGTGACACACAGCATGACATTAATTATGACAATAACCAAAGCCAGATTGATTGCTTGGAGTAAGAAGTCAGAAGCTAAGAGTCTTTGGAAACAGCCTACTGAAGAGGCAGCTATCAGGCCATAAAACATTGTCTTCTTCACTATGGGGACCAGCACATCTCAAAAGTGAGAGCTGCTGTTTGAAGGAAAAAATAATCCTTAGTCTAGTCATTTCTCTCCTATGGAAACACCAACAGAAATTAAAGCAGCTTTCATCCTACATAATTGATTCCAAAGAACAGCACCATACTGTGCCCACTCTGCATTTTACAGGTTGAGACATGCACTGCCAGCACACTCATTTGTACCTACTGTGACCAAGTAAATACTGCTTCAAAACTGCACCTTTTATAAGATTCATATATAGTTTCTCACTACTATGTAGCATCTGAAATGAGACTTTTAGCTAAACATTTTTTTTCTACGCATTCCTGTTTTCTATACAGGAATTCTATAGATAACACCAAAGTAGGCAATTTTCCTTCAAGAAGCAAGAAGAAGAAAACACAGCTTATTTACTTACACGACACTATTATAATCAAAGTCCTCAATGCCCACAAACACAGGAAAAGAAAATCTGTGCTGTTTGAAGGCTAGATTTCAGGGTCATTAGCTTTTGCCTGATTGATCTTCAAGGAACAGGAACTAACTGGCAAAGAACTAAATGAAGTACAGATTATTACAAGTTTAATTCAGGAAGCAGCATTTTTTTTAATGTTATCCCTGATTTAAAATATATATTAGAAATGTTTTTCTTGCCACTGAATGGACATGAAAAGAATTACAGATTTAACATCAACCCATGCATCAAATGGATTCCCTCAGGAGTGGGAATCCATTTGATGCATGTGTTACAGTGTTTTGACAATGCCCATACTTCAAAAGTCTGTAAAAACAGATTTTTGTACATCCAGTCATAGCTAAAATGTGAAAATATATTTCTTGAGACAGATACATTGCAAATACATTCACACAGCGTACAGAAAACAGGAGCTTGCACACTTCCTAAGACATAGCAGAACTAAGAGTTTAAGCTGCTATGGCACGGCATGCCTTTCAATAAGTGTCACAGTCCTCCAAATAACAGGGCTTGAACTCAGACTTAAGATTTCTGTAAATGCTCTTCTGCAGTGCCTGTAGAATCACAACACAATTGCAAAGTGATTTATATAGAAAAAGCAAAAAGAAACTAACTTCTTATTAAAAGAGCTGTGCACCAATATTTTAAGAACATTAATCATGTGAAACTGAGCCCTTAGGTTTGTAGAGAGTTCTGATGCCACAGGTGGTTATGTATCTTGCTCTAAGACAGAAAAAATTGGAGGAAACACAACAGTAGTGCAAGACACTAAAACCTTAGTTCCAAATTTTCAGCTTCTCAATTATAAGACAAATTCCAGCCACAAACTCTACTTCTGCAAGTGAATTCTTAGTACGCTTAGGAGCTTATAATGGATGTTATTTGAGACTTCTCTTAGAACTCACTAGCCAAGAGGGAAGTTCTAGGCATAATGCTGTGAAATCCACAGAAATCTATTAAAATCTTTCATGCTGTTGCTTTTTCTTCCACTATTTAAATCTCCAAACGGACATCAATACTTACCTCATCCCACTGGAAACCTCTGGAGTAATTAGAATTGCCAGTTTTCTGGATGTCTTATGATTCCTCAATGACTGTCCAAGAACAAGAGCACCTTGACAGTACACATCATCAGTAGCAAGGGTCACAAAGGCTTGATCTGTTACTGCAAAAAGATATTCAGAAGAGTCACTTTACAACTTTAATGTAAGCCGTTTTAGCTTGCTCCCTTGTCTTCCAGATAAACAACAATCTGTGGATTATAACAACCACATTGTGATTATAACGACCATTCCTGTAATGAGACTCCCCCCAAAAGTCACAACTGAATATAAAACCCAGCAAATGTGAGTGCAGAATGTATGTTTCTGATTTTTATTATTTTTGTTTGCCTGATTTACACAATAGCAGGTATAAAATTTTTGCACTAGCCTTAAACAAATAATTCCCTAGGTCTTATTGCCAAAACACAATGTAAATCAAAAAAAACCCTGATCTGTACATATTTAGATTTTATATTTAACAAACATAGTATAATACAGCCAATAAGGAAAGTGCTCTTGTTTATACAGTGCTGAAAGCTAAGAAAAAGAACAAGATGTTGAGTATTAGCCAGAAATGTTCTTTCCATAACGCCACTGAATCAACCCAACATTATTTTTGCTCTGCCTTCTTTGTACTGGGGTACCTGGTGCTGGCTGAACAAGTGCAGAGAAATTCCTAACAAGATCAGTGCACCTCCCAGAAGCTGAGAATCCCTACCTCAAGTAACTCCAGGGAATTTAGGAGTGTTCCTTATTGTCAGGAAACACATGAGGAAACAAGTTACAATAAAAAAGAAAGCAACCTACATTCCTGCATAACAGGAGGAAATGTATTTTTTTAGAGACACCACTCCTGTGGCAGTATCATAAGGGGCTGCTTCTTCAGTTCTGCCCTGTGACATAACCACCACTGTCAGAGCTCTTCTGGTGAGAACCGATAACCTAGCAAGGTGAACAGCCTCCTTGGAGCAGAACGATGATACACTCTAGGCTGCAAAATTAACCAGAACAAGATGAGCAGGTCACACAGATGAAGGGAATTCCACTGAGCTCGACTGAAACTTCAATAAACACTTGTGTTGAAATACTTGTTTAGAACCACCATCATCTTAAGGGACAGGCAATTGCATTAAATAAATTAAAACAACCAAACAATATCAACATAAACAACCTGTCATACAGTTTCCAGGGTCTGTGAGAAACACTAGGAAAGAATCTCACAGAACTAGTTGCAGACAACTCAACAAATGATCTCATGGCTGCCTCAGCCAGAGGCTGCCAAAATGAGTGAGTTCTAGCCCCTAACTGTCACTGAGGTATGCAGTAAAGTATGGTTGATGCCTACAATAAGCTAACAGAGACTAAGCGTTTTTATTTTTCACATCCTCCAAATCCAGAGCAAAACACAGGCCCACTGGTGTGCTGCCTTTTCCCCCCACTGTTTGCCCTCTTTCACTCATCCCCAGCCAGCTTCATCTCAAGCACACATACTTTACATTTGCTGACATTGACACACATCCCTGCACCTCAGGAGAATCCCAGTAAGTGCCAGACTTGATCAAAAAAACCTAAATCAGCCATCCAAACTTTAAATAGTTTGCATAGCCCACAGCTGAGCAAACTCCAGTAACATTTCTAATTACAATTTCCAGACAAAGCATATGAAGAATTGAACTTTCAAATGTCCCATTATAATAACAGCTTGAGCAAGTTACGTGTGTTCCAGAAATCAGTGAATAAGGAGTTGCTTTAAAACAACAGATGTGAAGTAAACTGCTCCTACTGCAGTTTCCCAGAGGGTTAAAGGAGTAAATATAAGCATCCCCAAAAACCAATGTAAACCAGAAAACCGCTGAAGGCTACTTCAGCAAGAAAATTACTCTGAAAAGATGCAAAAGTTCAGGAAAGCAAAGCAGTTTGTGTTAGGCAACAAGCATCTTCAGCCAAAGAAAGGTAATAAAACAACTACTGAGAGGAATGTGGGAGTTAGGTTAATATAAAAAAAAACCAAAAAAAAAAAAAACCAACAAATTATTAAATGAGTGGGAATTCCAATCTTAAAATACTGTTTTAAATAACAACCACAAAACTGAACACAATCTTCACATGGCTTTTTCAAATTCTTTTGGCTACAGAAGCTGAATCTTTACTTAAGTAATACATAGAAAAATACACAAACTACTTATTAAATGGTTCAGGAAACTGGTATGGAAAACTACCACATCCTCCAAATGCTTTTTTGCCCTGTACCCCTGTGGTCATAACCACAAGGAAGCAAACTGCCAAACAACTGCTGCTTCTGAGAAACTCTTGCTGATACCTCACAAAGAACAGAAACTGAGTGTCTGTTTTGAGAATCAGATGTGGTGGGATACATGTTATGGCCTTCTTAATACAGTAAGCCACCATAGAGATAATTGAATAGATAATCAAGCTATTGAGTGAAAATATTTAACATTAAAATATTTCTGATGCTAAGAGAGATGTAAATCCTAATGATTTTAAAATCATACAGGAGCATCACTAATTCATTAAGGATCCATTGGGAGTTTAAAATAAAAATATTTTATCATTACCTTTCATCTAATCGTTGCTTTCAAAAAAGAAGTGTTATTTGACTCGCCTTGATTAGAAAATTCTTTGGAATATAGCCTATTAAGTAAACATTTTATTTTTATAACTGAAAGTAAGGATCAGGTTTTCATATACATTTTTGGAAGTAAATGGTTTACCTAAAAGTTTCCCTTTAGCTGAAATCAAAGACAACACATAAATCTACTGAACACAAGAGTTTCACTCACTGACTTTAAAAGAGCAAATCTTGTTTAAGTTTGAAAGCTAGAGGTGTAGATATTTAAATTCATTGCAAGTATTGTTTGATTTTTGTTTCCTTTTTTGTGGTTTTTTGTTGGTTTTTTTGTTTTGGGTTTTTTGATTACTTTAATTCTTTGTCTGAATAACAGTAAGATTTTTTTTATGGACAACACCTACTGTTAAGGGTATTAAGTTTTCCAGCAAATTGTTTTCAAGCTGTGGATCCTTATGGCTAATACAATACCACTGGTTATAAGTAAACTATGAGAAAAGAAAGTGTATTTTTAGAATCCCATTAAAACCCTGTCATACGAATTTATAAATCTGCTAATTTGTCTTGTCTGGATTACCACAAAGCACATGATGATGCAAATTAAGAAATCATTATCATCAGTAGTGGCTCCTCAGTTTTATTACCTAACAATACTTTCTTAGAACAAAACAAGGATCTTTAAGGAATTAACTTGCTGAGTTATTCTAGAACCTGCTCTGCAGCTACACAGAAGAGACAGCAAAAGTAATGTGAACCACTACTCAGGGTGATCTTATGTGGAACTTGTAACAGCTTTTTGAGCCAAGATCACCAACTTTTTATGCTACTCACTCATAGAAGTAGTACCTCTGACACTGCCAGAGGCAAAATTCTTTGACAGGTGTGGAAACTAATTCTAGGGCACCTAAAAGCTTTATTTAGAATATGATCAGAGCAAGCAGACAGGGTGGTGCTCACTTTCATGTTCAAAGAGAAAAAGAGGATTAAAAAACACCAGGTACCCATTTTGAGACTCAGGAGTGACTGATAATAACAAGCTCTGAGTTACCCAAGTGCAGTTTCCAACTTCAAGACAAGTTTAAGTAGGGTAGGGAGGCTTTTTTTCCACAATCCATTAGTACAACTGCTTTCCTAAATTCCTCCCTGGTACCATCTGTTGCTCTCTTGTCACCTCCCCCTTCTACTCCAGAGACAATCTGCAGGATGAGCAGGCTGCAGCCACGACCTGTCCCCATTGAGCCACAGCACCTCTCTGAAATCCCAGGTGACAATGACACAGCTCCAAACCACAGCACGCTTCCTGACACCAATTCTGTTACTCCCTCTCCCGCACAAGGATTCTGTGGATCTTCCCCCAGAAGCACCCTGTGAACGTGTGTTAGACTGCTAAAAAGAGAACCCAAGCTGTAGGCTTCTCACTTCTCTGGCCTAGCACAGCCATATCCTCTGCTCCTCCTGACACCCACAACCTTATAAGCAATCAAGAAGTATTTTGTTGTAATAGATAACATGAATAATAGTGTCAGACAATAACCTGAGTCAGAGCCCTATCAAAAATTGCTACGCAAGTTTCCAGCAAAGAGGCAGTTCTTGCCCTAGTAAACAAATGAGAGCTGGCAATTTTAATTATCGTGCTTTCTTAGATCCAACAGTAGAAACATGGATGTTCTAATGAAGATAAACAAGGAGCACTTTACACAGACCTTTTTATAACTGAATTTAAATTGACATTCAATGGCATACAATATTTCTCTTGGCCTAATGAAGTTCTGCGTCATTCAAAACCAGTTTCTCCCTTTTATTGAAACAGTACTGAATTTTACCAGGCAGGATTACTGCTCTTGTGTTGGAAAACCACTTGATTCCAGTTCTTTGTAGCTTTTATTATGTGTCTTTCAGTTAAAAACTGATACATTCTGCTTCAAGATTCTGCAATGTTGTTATTCAACAGATGCTAAATGATCCTCATGAAAACTCAAATGCAACAATATCATAAGATGCAAACAAGCACAACACATAACACCCAAAACTAGTCCCAAAACAGTAATACACCAGTTTGAAAATTAGTAATAATGGTAATAATTATTAGAAATAATTGCTTAAGCAATCCAGAGACAGCATAGGGAACTTTATGGCACATATCACGTTAGATGTTTCCAGTCTTTCCACACCTTCCTTTCAACCAAAAGAAAAAAAAATAATCAAATTTAAAAAAATCAAAAAACCCCCAAAAAACTGAAACAGAAAAAAACTCCTCAACCAAATGAAACCTCAATGATCTAATCCTTTCATTTGCAGATTCACTTTCTGCATCTTCTTCTGCATCTGTGCTGGAGTGCCACATACATGAATGCAAACTTGGCATCATGCAAGTCCAGATGACTGACACCCTTCAAATGGTTCAATAAACCAAGATTTGTGGAAGCTGCTGCTCTCAAAAACGACAGAAAAGGAAAAAAGTTGAGTATGTTCAAGAACCAGAAGAGCACCTGCACCTATCCCATGTGATTACCCTAAAACCAGTACCTCATGGCTTTAAGGATAACTAAGACCAATACCACTGCTTTGTAGAAGGGATATGAGAAAGCTTTCTCTGAATCTGCCTCAGACTGAGACAGCCAGCCCCAGCCTGTCACCCTGGGGATCCACCAGGAAAGCACACAGAGACCTAAGCAGGCCAAGCTGTACACACAGCAGAATACATAAATGAGTTCGCCTATTTCACCCCATCACCCAGACAGTTAAAATCCTCCTCTGGAGCTGCTCATTACAGCACAGCACTCCGCTGATAAGAAAGCAGCAGAGACCCTCTCCCGCACCGGGATGTGAGAAGGGCAAAAGCCCCGGCGGGCTCCGGGCTGCACTGCCGATCGTTCCCGAGAGGCGCTCACGGCAAGCCGGGCGGGTGCTGCGGGACGGGGGTACTCACCCGACATGCTGAGCAGGGCTGGGCTGGGCTGGGCTGGGCAGGGCTCGGTCCGCGGCGCCCACCGCTCCTGCTGCCTCACCTGCGGGCGGGGGGGCCGCTAAACCGCACAATGGGATTAGCCTCCTTCCTGCTGGAGGCAGTGGCAGGTGAATTACATTCGCAGGGACTCCTGCGCAGCGGCAGAGGAAAGGCATTAGCGGCGGAGACCATGGCGGGGGGGCTGGCACGACCCACCCCGCCCCCGCTCCGGGCGCCGCTTTGCTGCGAGAGGGGCGCGCCCCGACCCTACGGCGCTCCGCTCCCGGGGAGGCACAGCCCGGAGCCCGGCCTGGCCCTTAGCCCGACACGGGCACAGCCCGGAGCCCGGCCTGGCCCCTCAGCCCGGAGCCCGGCCCGGCCCTTAGCCCGACACGGGCACAGCCCGGAGCCCGGCCCGGCCCCTCAGCCCGACACGGGCACAGCCCGGAGCCCGGCCTGGCCCTTAGCCCGACACGGGCACAGCCCGGAGCCCGGCCTGGCCCCTCAGCCCGGAGCCCGGCCCGGCCCTTAGCCCGACACGGGCACAGCCCGGAGCCCGGCCCGGCACCACAGCGCGACACGGGCACGGCCCGGAGCCCGGTCCGGCCCCGCAGCCCCTCAGCTGCCCCGCTCCGGGCGCGGCGCTCCCGCTCCATTGGCCGCCTCGCGGCTGCGACCACCCCGGGATGGGAGAGACCCTCGCTCCCCTTCCTCCGGTTCCCTTCCGTCCCGTTCCGCCCCCTGCCCGATGCTGTGTCTGGGTGCCCTCTGTGTCTCAGGCGCCGCGACAAAGCCTCCCTGTCACGCACACGTCTGTGTGTAAACCGAGAGGAGGGACACAGGTTGGGGAGAGTCCGCCGCGCAGCGCCCAGAGAAAAACAAACACCAAGCTCTGTGATGGTGAAGGTGGAAAACACCAAGCTCTGTGATGGTGAAGATGGCAGAGCATGGAAAAAGGTCTCAGAGCATGAGTGGGGTGATTTCAGCGTGGCATAGGGTCACACATACACGGGATTCACCGTGAATGAAGGGGGTTTACCCCTAACTCCCTGGGGCCGCCGTATCCCCTACAGATACTCACGGTCTGATAACTTGTCTCCCAGATAAGAAGGAGATGTTTTCAGTGTCAGGAAGCTCATGCTATTCAGAGGGCTGTAAATATTTTCACAAGTGCATAAATAAATGTACATTTTCTTGAACAGCATGCTTTTGCTACTAGCCTACAAGTCATGTAATTTAATGTAATTCAGCCATACAATGTCTCTGCAAGGTAATTTTAGGCTGATATGGTTCAGCTGAGGCATTTTTGTTTCAAAATGTGCTGTGAACATCAATATCTACGTAGCAGAGGTAAACAACTTTCAGGTAGTGTGCCACTGAAAAAACTGCCTATTGGTACCACACACCTATTTAAAACTTTATTTCCAACAATTTGCAAGAGATCTCTGTTGCCACTCCAAGCTGCAGCATTTGTTCTCTCGCACCCTGGAAGAATCCCAAAGGTCCACCTCAGAAGAGGGTGTCATTGCTCTGTAGTAATGGTGAAGTGTTTGAAGGAAGGAAGGATGGACATAAACATGTAGGAAATTGAGTTTTATTTATCCCACAGAAACAAAATCCTCAGGGACCTGTGTTCACCATTGACTTACATAGGCAAATCAACTAGACAACATAGTTATCAGTACCATGACTACTGTTGTAGATAATTTTACTGGCAGATTTATTTCACTCGGGGGACTTGAAGATTAAGAAAAGTTTCTCCTTGGTAAATAAAAGTGATGTCTATATTTAAATGATAATATCTTTTACTTTTATGCCAGCAACTTTTTTTATGGTGTAGAATAAATTTTAAGTATCAGAGCCAGTAACACAAGCTAGAGTTCCATGTTCTAACAGCCAGTTAATCCATCCTTCCTTCCTTCCTTCCTTCCTTCCTTCCTTCCTTCCTTCCTTCCTTCCTTCCTTCCTTCCTTCCTTCCTTCCTTCCTTCCTTCCTTCCTTCCTTCCTCCCTCCCTCCCTCCCTCCCCCCCTTCTTCCCTTCCCTTCCTAAATTTAAATACACTAGAGCTTCCCTACATAACCCCTCAATTACCTGAAATGATAATACTAGAAATAGTTAATACAATCATTATAAATTTGTTTTTACCATCATCATCATTCTAGTTAAAAGGGAAATTGACACCTAAAAGTGCATCTGCACACTGGTATATTGATGTACTGGTATATGCTGACAAATTAGACCAAAGAGCTTCAGAGGGTCAAACACTTGGGTAGTCAGGGTTTATCCATTCAGATTCATGGGTTTTGCTCAAATTCTCCATAATAAATCTGGTTTTGTGCTATTAATATCAAGACAAGTAATAAATTATTTTGAAAATATTATGAACAATTTAAAATAAGTTGTCATAGTATAGCAAAACCAAAAATGTTGCACATAGGTCCTTCTCTAGACACTTAGTAAAATAAAAAAAAAAAAAAGAGAGAAAAAAAGAATAGATAGTTAAGTGGGTTTGATTATTTTGTTGGGGTTTTTTTCCTGTATTTTTCCTTTAGTTTGAAGCATTTCCTTCTTTTCCCTAGTGGGCCCTATTTGAACTTTTATACAGAAGGTATCAACTCTCATATGTCCCAGAAAGTAGCAAAGAAAACAAACAAGACCTGGGTCATTTTAGATAAAACACAGAAGGTGTTTATTGAAAATTTAAAATTTTGAAGAGAAAGAAGCAAAATATATATTTTCATGGTTGAACAAACAACTGAAGTTGTAACACCAAAACACTTGTCATTTCATTAATCAAATCTTTATGTCTGTCCGACAAAATATACATCAATCTGTTTTAACTGTGAACATGGAAAATTAATATTTTAAAAGAAATATTAAATGTCCTTGAAAACCATATTAAAAATATTTTCTCATTTTTAAGTTGAAAGTGATAGCCACAAAGGTGTTCATTTGTTTGTATGTTGTCAAGATGTTTCTATGTTTAAACTGATGTACATTATCATTTCTTTCAGGATCAAAAAAAAAAAAAGTGGTAGTCTAAGCAAGCAACTGATATATATAAATTTAAAATATTATTCAGATAATTAATATTTTATTATATGAAAAATTAATTTTTAATATATGTCTTCCTCTCAATGATGTAATAAACACAAAATCATATTCATCTCCATATAAGTGGAATTGCAGTAACAAAAATGATGCTTTGCATATAAAATGAAGATAAAACCATACCAATTTACTTATGCTTTAAAAAGTTAGTTAAAATGCCTCTATTGCAGAATTATGTCAGTAAACTGCTAGTTTTGCCAGCTTTCATCTCTATTTCATTCACTTGCTGTTTTTTTGATCCAGTTAGCTAAATGAAGGAAGAGACAGGAAAAGTGTCAATTTTCATTACAGGTTTGTCTACATGAGGACATTGTTAGCACTGCAAGGTCCATCAGGAATGAGGGAAAGTGAAACAGTCTAGCTAGAAAACCTATATCAACCATACCTCCACATAGTATGAAGTTGAAAAGTCTTTGTGACTTAGATTTTAGAGATTAAAGCATCACAAACTCATTCTAAATGAATCAGAAAAATCTTTGTACCCATTTTCCCTTTTCAGAAGTTATGAATAATGTGGGGGTTTTTTTTAGAAAACCCATCTTTCTAGATTAATGTCTTCAAAGGTTCCTAAAGTCAGGCCTAAGTTTTCAAGAGCAGAAATGAGACTCATGTAAAATTCTGGTTCCTGAGAAGAGCTAAATACCAGTTTAGTAATTAATCAATAAAATAAATAAATAAATAAAATTAGAATGTATTCCTCTCTGTTTTATTTTAAACAGTGGTTTGTCAATATACATAATCTTTTCAGTGTATTATAAAATTAAGAATGAATTTTCTAGCTACAGTTCCTTTCACTTTGCTAAAATTCAGACACAAACACAAAGTAAAGTCATTCAAATTTTTAATCCTTTAGACAACTACAAATTTTCTTTAAACACAGTAAACATTACAGGAATATACTGGAGAAACCCAACAGGTGTGAAAGGAAATGGCATACTCCTTATTCCTATTCTATCAGAAGGACTGAGTTTTTTAATTTTGAAAATAGAAAAAAAAAATTATTTGGCGACTCAAATCCTCACAAACATGAATCCTTCAACCTTTAGCTTATATCACATTGATTTCTTTGTTGTTTATGATAACTTCTGAGTCAAAATCTGTATTCAGCCTTTATGAATGCAGGTCAGAGAGTGCAATACAATCCCTGGATGTCTTAAGCATATTTTTGATGACATAAAGTTCGAGGTGGAAAAGTGACATCAGGTTAGAGAGAGCAGGATTACAACATCTCAGTAAAACATTCATTAGAGGAAGATTTTCTTCTGTCAGAATGGCAGTGTAGAATGTCACCAACCAAAGGAGCCTGTGGTCAGACAGCAACTCTTCTTTCAGTGCTTTACACTGCAGCCCCACCTGAAAAATGAAAATTGAACATTCAGTGCTTCCGCTGTGGGTGTTCTTTGCCAGCTTTCTGAGGCTGATCTGGGCCACCCTGGCTGGTTTCCACACACAGAACCAAAACTGCCAGGCACCTCTGTGCTGGCAGGGACAATTGTTTGTCAAGGTCCCATCAACTTCAGCACTAAATCAGTGGAAAACTGTTTGGGCCTTACCACGTGGTTTGAAACAAAGTTTCTTATTCTTGTAAGCGGTGTAAGCTGCTATTGATCCAACAACCAGTATCACAAAAGCAGAAATTACAGGAGATGTAACTCCAGCTATTAAACCCGAATCTGTGGAAAAAGAAAGAGAAGGTTTTGGGTTTTTTTTTTCAGAGGCACTTAAATGGTTTGTCTTAAGTATATTGTCTACTAAAGCATGTCTTTACCAAATTAGGAAAATAGTTTGGTGAAACTACAGAATTAAGAAGATGAACAAAAATTGTGTAATATTACAGATTATGTGAAAATTATGCCTTAAAGCCTAATTTATTATATCTGCTTCTTGGTAAGGTTATCATTGTTTTAGTATTTCATAAAGATCAGAAGTTAATTGCAGAATAATGCAAATTATTTACTATACCTGTGTTCCCTCCATGATTGAAATGATGCTGCTCGTCTCCTGGAATAGAGGGTGAAGCTTCATCAAAGAAATGCTTGTCATCCTGTTTTGAGAACTAAGTCTTTACTCAGTGAAGCGTGATGTACAAAGGGCAAAAGGGGTGGCCCAACAAGACTGCAACAGAAAGCTCCCCTTCTACTCCCCACTGATGGCTATGCTGGCCAGAGGAATAACTGCTCATCCTCTTGAAACTTCCTTTTTTGGGGAAGAATGTTATTATCTAATAGAAGGACCATTTGTAACAGGCTATGTCGAGCTGATTTCACAGGGAGGCCAGTATAGTCTATCTCTTCTCTGCTGCCAGATAATCAGATAATTTATCAGTAGTTTACACCAAGATCTTAGTCTTGGTCCATCTATTTGAGCATGCCCCTTGCTTTGGGACTTTCCTTGCTGAATTCAAAGGGGTAAAACCTGCAGGCTCCTGGCATATGCTAGAATGCTAAAAAATGTTTTGGAATATGTTTCAAATTCTAGCTTCAGGCTCAAAACTATGGCATTTGTGAAGGATAACTAACCTAAATAAAAGTACCAGAGTCTGGTCCTATACCTTCAGAGACAAACAGACTACCACTAAACCAAAACCAACCAGAGTTGGTCTATACCTTCAGTTTAGAGGTATTAGGAACGCATTGCAAGGGAAACAGGCAAATGTTACCTGGTGGTAAAGGCTTTCCATCAAGGAGATCTGAGTCATCAAAACCTCCTGCAAGATAAAGATTCCAGTTGCAAAATTATATACAATGATAACCCCTTCAGCTCCTTGTCCACTCCTTTTGTAGTGCTCTAGGAGAGGTGAGGGACCTTTGAAATCCCAGCTACAACGTGGTGGATGGGTCACATGTCTTACACTGAACAGTCACCCACCAAAATTCAGCTGAAAGCTGAAGCACTGACACTGTTGGTGTCTATGTATTCTGTGTCTGTTTTGGGCACTTGTGGGAAGTGTGGGCTTGGGCTCTCAGTAACACAAATCCTTATATAATATGGACATCTTGAGTCCCAGTGATCCCTGAAGCAGAGAGTCAGTGGGTCCTTTCCAGCAAAGACTCCAGAAGGACCTATCCATGGCTCACCACTACAGCCATACCCAAGGTAATTGCAGGGACAGGGTGAAAGCCAGAATAGATATGCCACATTTACTTTATCTAAGCAAGTATCTGGAACCAAACTCAAAAGCAATACAGGCTGCCCAGCCCCATCTGCTGTATGCCCTAGGGACATCTCAGATGCACATCTCAAATTGATTTGAGCACAGGTTTATCCCTGCCCTGTGGCTAGATGTCAAATTTGAGCCTTTGCATAGTTCAGTGTATACACACCCAAAATGAAAACACAAACAAAATTAGATGTTAGTCTCGTGCCACTTAAGATGCAGTGTCCCACATTTTTAACAAACTGAAAAACTTTATAGTATCAACACTAACATTCAGAAAAAAGCTTTCTCACCTCTGGGCCAGAAACAGTGACTACAAAAGGAAGACATGGGAAAAGGATGATAAATGCTGTTACTAGAGAAGTAAGAGACTAAAGTATTCAAAATGTCTGCTCTGAACAGGTGATAGCACTACATTTTCTTATGAGCAAGTAGTCTTACCAGAATTACCATAACTTCCTGGGCGTGGTGGAAGAGGTGGGTATAAAGGTTTTCTTGAGATGTCACCTATTGATAATTAATATTGTTAGATAATTGAACAGGCAAAACTGGGAACTGTAAATAAAAATATTTTATACCTATTTCTAATTTGTCCTCCCATGAATTAATAAAAGGACCTTGTCAGTAGTTAAGAAGATTTAAGCACTATATCAACAAATAGCTAGCTGTAAAAACTGACTTGGAAGTGAATAGGGAATATTTTTGAAAGAAGATAAGAATTTGCAAGAAACATCGAGGGAAAATATTTTATGTATATCTGGCAAGTGCTAACATTGATTAAAGCTGACAGCTAGGAGGCACCATGTGTCAGTCACTGTGGGTGTCAGTGGTGCAGTTATTCAGAGCCAACAGAGAAGCTTGTGTTCCAGGCTGGGCAGGAGGCAACAGGTTATCTCATTGACATCAGCAGGTTTTAATAAGGCCAGCAGATTAATTTCGTCTAACAGATGATGAATTTATCTTATGCAAAATGAATTTCCTGCTCTTGAACAGTGCAAAATGATCTCAGACTTCAGCTTTGCTGTTGTTTAGGACTTTGTGCTAGCATTGAGCCTGAATTTTTTGCCAAAGGATTAGAAAGAGATGCATTGGATAGAGCAGGAGATCTAATGACTAAAAGCAGTTTCCGAGCTGCATACACAATGCTGAAGAGCTCACTCAGGTCAAAGCCTGCCAAATTTAACATCTAGGATTGCTGCTCTGTGTGTGTAGTCAGTTTTCTCTTGCCACCCTTTACTCAACCAATTCAATCATGTATTCAACTGTTCTTAAAAATGACAGACAGTGTACTTTTCTCTGCATAAATCAAAATTAGGTCACAGAAATAAATTGCAATTTCCCTCCCCCTCTTTAAATCTTTCACTTTCCAAACATGCCAGATGCTCTTTTGCCATGTTTTCTTCTTGCCTGGCTACTAAATACAATGCTTCTGTTTCTGAGCACCATTTAGGTTCTGATCCAGAAAATTATTTTGGTATATCCTTAACTTCAAGTGAGTTTACCTACAGCCAATGGATTTTAGGTATAGACATAAAGCTTTGCTGAATCTGATTTTGCCCAATTAACTATATTCAGCAGAGGAAGGACTTGCTCTGTTCTAGCTCTGTGTAATGACTAAGACTCACCATGGCACAAAAGCAGAAAACCAAAAATCCCACTTTTAATTTCTATCATGATGCTGCACTTAGTCCTCTCTAAGCATAAGAAGACATATTGTATGGCATAGCTGGTGAAAAAATAATGTCTTCAAAAATACTAATAACGAGATACATAACTTTAACCTTATTATACCATGTATGAAGGTCAATTAAAAAACTGAACTGAAAATGGAACAAGGAAATAAAAACCAATGGAAATACAATTTTCCATCCTTGGAATGAAAAGATTTGGTTTAGTTAAGGTACTTAAGCTATTAATTCATACTTCAGTCAATATATTTAACCTATCCTCTCATAACAGTACTCAATAACAGCTTGCAGGAATGGAAGAATTACTACAGGGACAAATAAATGAAATTATAAACATGGGAATTATTAACAACATTAGATCCAGCTTTGTAAAATATGAACTAATACATCATTCATACAAAGGCATGAAGTGCCACAGAGGAAGTCAGAAATGGGGAAAAAAATCCCAATATAAAAGGACAGTTACTGTCTAAGACTGAAATGTGAGCAAACCAGACCACTGCAGCTGGTTCAGAGATTCTGTGCAAATGGCTGAGAAGTTTCTTTTGTGTGGTTGTTATTAAAGTGGAATTTTAGGCTTTGCAGTAATCATTGTATTTTGGGTATCTGCAGTATTCAAGAACCTTTCTAGAGTACTTCACATCTCTAAACACATTAATTAAAATTTGGTGTACAAATTCCCAGCCTCGAGGATTTCATATGTCTGCACAGCTCAGTACAGTTCTGTGAATACTTCCAAGGTCAGGTCTGGGTGTTATGGGAATATCTGGAAGTTAACAGCATGTTACAACATCTTGACTGCTTCAAGCTTAAGCTGTATTCACCAGTGCTCATCTCTGAAGCATTTCTTCTTGAATTTCTAATTTGCCATCAGCAGAACTACAAGAAGCTCAAACCTCCCCATCCAGTGTTACCTCTGATTCCTAATCTTAGACAGGCTCATTTTTGGTCACTGAAGAAACTACAGCCATCACCTTCTTCAGGCTCCTGTCAGAGGACTCCACCCTGAGCCACACAAGTGAATGGGTGAGGTTTGCTCTCCCCAGCCACGCCTGGGGTGCTCTGCCATGGTACAGCAAGCCCCAGCTCACTTCAGTTCATGCAAGGCAGGGCAGCTGGGGGCTCTCAAAGGTAGCTGTGAGCAGGTGCTGTCCCCACCCTGCGTGACAGCCTCAGGCAGAAGGGCTGCCTGTACATGAGTTGTAATAACTCTCATCACCATAGCACCTCCTGCAGCACTGAAATATCTTTTTACAAATTAGGCAGAGTTCAGGAAAAGACTATGAAATTAAAAAATCCCCTTGTATTCAAGGAAACAAGGCAGTACTCACCCCCACCAAAAGCATCTCCCAAATGCAGATCATTGTCTAAAAATGAATAGGAGGAAGATGTAGAAAAGTGAGTTACATGCAATTCTTGAGGGAAATGAAATGTTATTTTCATTAGAACATGTACAACTGCATGTTTGACAAGCACCTTTTTCAAGTCAGTGCCACAAATTCAAAAAATAACTTATCACACTTTTCATGAAAACTCTAATAGAGTCTAACATTTTCCAACATGCTAATTGACAAATAGCAGGGTATTTTCTACTCAAAATGCAAAGGTTATTTCCTGTTTTAAATGATGTCAAAATAAATCTTACAGTTGAAGCAAGATCAATACCTCTTTAATATACCTGCAAGTACAAAAATAAAATTAGCTATGTTATAATATGTAACTGTACTCACTTCTAAAATATACTTAATTATTAACATTTATGTCTGTGGTTAAAATTTGTATATGTATGTTTGGCTCAAGTATAATTTATTGAACTGCAAAAACTGAATATCCATTTCAAGAGCAAATACTAGGGAGCAATAAACCTTCTTGGGGAGATATTGAATCAAATATCTATGTAAGGGTCACGATGACCCTTTCCTTCAGGCCATCATATGCACCTGCCTGAGGTTGGGAGACAGTCTGTTTTTATTTGCTTGAGCTGTGAAGGTTTTTAGATAGAATTAAATGTCTGTATGCAAAAGTTACCCAGTAAACCACCAGGCTGTGACCATTGCCCAGCACCGTACACGTGTCTCGCTGTAGCTGGGATGGAATCTTTCCATGCAATAAACAATTCGTCCATGAGCTGCAGATGGGTAAGGAGGAACTCTGTTTCTAACATGCAGGTGTGGCTGTGAGTGAGTGGGTGATATTTTAAGGTGTGTATGGAATGATGGTAAGTTCTGAAAGCATACATTAGATGGATGCTTTAACTGCAAGAATCCCTTTCTTGACCCTTATATGCATAGAGTGGTACAGTGTGTCAGAAGAAAAGGGACAGCAAAACCTATCTAAATTTTGGTAACACTGCTTGCTGCCACAGACAACTAGATGGATTCTCAATTAAACAATTTTTTTTTTTTTAAATTATAGATGTGACAGAATTCCTGAGACACAGGAAAATCACCATGCAGAAATCTGTTTTCTTCTGTTCTTTATACCTATGAGGATTGGGAAGCTGCTTTTGCACAGTATCTCGTCTCATTTGGGTGACAACTTAGAAATGCTTTGATGTCACCAGGAAATCTGGCAGGAAAATAAACAAATTCGTAATACATGACTTGGTTTGCCCTTGTCAGGTATAGGTCCTCCCTGTGTCTGCCCAGCAGAGCTGCATTTCAAAAATACCTTTACCTGTCAAATGTTAAAACTGTAAGAAGCAATAAATTGAAAACTGGATTCAATTTATTATTGACATGAAGAATTGAGGTAAAATGCAAGTTCTGCTCTGGAGGGTTCATGTAGAGATTTGTTGCAGAAATGCTCAGGTTGATATGAATGAAATAAAAATGGAAATGCATGTGTGTGTTGGGATCAGAAAAAACAGCAAAATGTTAAAAGAACAGACTAAAGGTCACTGTTCCCAGCAGTAAAACTGAGGAATGTGTTGTTTCTGTCAAAACCAGCAGGCCTGTGCTCTGATGAGAGCACAGATGACTTGTCAGCAAAGGAAAAGCAGAAAAGCATTCTAACACCAAAGGTTGCAGCATAACACTACTTTTCTGATGGTCCACCCAGAAAATAAGTCTGTGCACACAGCCTGTGAACTCCAAACAAGTGAAAAAAATATAGTGGGCAGTAACCTGACCAAGGGTTCAGAGACACTGGAATGAGAAATATTATGAAGTAAAGGACCTCTCTATAATACCTAAATACTCCTAATACTCCTAAAGGATATAAAAGATCTGTGGATTCTGCTTGTCATTTCTGATCAAGAAGAAGCACAGAGACAGGATAAGAGCTCAGCAGCTGGCAAGCTTTGTCTCATGTTGCACACGATGCTCACCAGACCCCTTAAGCACGCACATCTTGGTGCTCATGAGCATGTGGGTGTGAGGCTATGGCTGAATTAAACAGCATTCAGGAACAATGTCAGTGGGTAAGTATCAATTTACATTGAGATTTTGTAAATAAAAATTACCTTCCATTACATTTTGTGATGAATTTTGCTACACTAGGGAAGTGCCTACAGGAGAGCTTCAACTCAGGCAGAGGTGCATGGGGTGCCCAGAGAACACTGCCTGTAACTGGCCTCAGCTGAACAAAAATGTCAGTGAGCCTCACTTCTGAAGGAGACATAGAGGAAATCCTGAAGTTAAGATGAAGCATTAAGCACCTGCTGGAGCATACTTTTGTACCATCTTCCTGCACTTTCCAAATCCAATAGTTGATTTGTAACACTGTGGGCTTGGGTTTTCTAATAAGTTTTAATTGCTTTTTTAAACTTTCTGCAGTCCTCTGTAGCTCTGAAGGAGACTCTGAAATAGTTTGGAAAACATGGAGTTCTTCAGGCCCAAAAATTAGTGAAGTGGATTTGGTTAGGGCAGATATTCATCTGATGTTCATATCTCTAACAGATTTAGGAGTCCCTAAAAATAAAAATTCCTTTCACCTGACTGAGGCAGCTTGAGTGCAGATATTGGCACTCTAAGCTACCTTTAAACTTGACCAAGGATAAAGTATTTTAGGGCACAATTAAATAATTTGAAATGTTTACATTAGGATGGGAACAAATCCACATTTAGTGCAACAGTTTAAAATAGACAGACACTTCTAATCTAGGCCAGACATAATTTTTTTTTTTTTTTTTTTCCAAATGAAGTGGGAAGGAAGAATTCAGCCATTAAAGTATACAATAGCTATCACAAAATACTGCCCCTGTTTGCTCAAAGAGGAAGCCAGAGAATTGTGTGGAAAACGTAACTACTTTCATGCACCTAAAGTCTTATTTCAAAGTTGGTCCAGAAAAAGACCTGAAGTTGTTGGGTTTTTTTTTAATCTAACATTTTCCAAGCATTTTGTTTGATAGACAGAAAATTATTCCAGTGCAGTTTAGGTTAAAAAAAAAAAATCTACATTGTCATAAACTGTTCCATCACAAATGCAATTTTATTCTTGTTTGGAATTTGGATATTTTCAACATTAACAAGTGTTCATTGGAATTCATTGTTTGGCATTCGCAGGACTATAGCTCTCCACTGTTCAGAGCCTTTTTTCCTTTCTGACACAGGTGGTTGTAGCAATCAATACGAGATAATATGAATCAAATACATGGTGAGAAGAAAGAATAGCCCCAACTTCATTCTGATTCTTTTCCAACTCTGTTATCAAGCATCATGGAGAAATATACAAAAAATAAAGATAATAGGGAAAAAAGGTAGAGGAACAGTTGGCCAATTTTAACAACAGCTACCCATTGTTATACTCCCCAGGGAGTTCAGAACAATCTAGAAAAGGGTGAAGAAGGCCTTCAGGAAATAAAATACTACCACTGGCCAGCCATGCTTGATTGCCTCGCTTGAAGCAGTAAAGACACAGAATTGGTAGTTGTCAAAAGAGTACTTATTTTACTTTAAGAAGACAGCTGTTAATCACACATTATCTGTGCTAAAGCACAGCAGCAAATATGATAAAGAACCTCATGTGAAAGTTTCCTACATATACAAAATCACTTTTATGACCCATTATTTATTACTCACTGAACACAGGTCTTGTTGGTCTTCTGATCACTGTAGGTTTCCTGGTAATTATGTCATCTGTTGAATACAATGACATGCCAGTAAACATTAACAGCTTCAACTTAACAAAAGCATGTATGTGCAAATGTAGAGAGCTGCTTTCAATAAATCTTTATGTATCACAGCAGAAGCCAAAAATGAAGGAATATGTTTTCAAATCTAGTTTTCTGTTTGTTTGTTTTAAAGAAGATTTTCATTTTGTGATAGAAACATTGAAATCTAGCATTCTTCAGTTCTGTGTATCTTTAACAGAAGTAGTAGCCAGTTCATATTGCATTCCTCAAGGAAAAAGACTTAAAATTTACTATTAGATGTAAATGCCTTAGTAAAATAAGGATAGAAAATATACATACCAGGGTGATCAAGGGCATCAGCTAAATCAAAATCATCTTGACCTAGAAGGAATGTGACAGAGGACACTAAGTCAGCAGGCAGGTTTCCATGGACTCCAGACCTGAGGGCTCAGTACAGAAGCAGAACACAAGTAAGAGGCAAAAGAAAGGCCCATCCAAACAGCAGCAGAACAAGCTGTCAGCTGTCATCCCTGCACAGCACAGTCCAAATGACTGTGAGAGATGGGCTCATTTAATCCAAGGAAGTTATTTGTTCAGCTAGGCCAAAGAGAAGCTGCTCTCTCGTGTTATCATATTCAACTGCTGTACAAACAGCCCTTTGAAGAGCACAGGTTGCCAGCTAGAGGCACAGGACTATTGCCAGGAGACAGCTGAAAGTAGCATTCAGCATAGTACTTGTGAACCAAAATCATTAGGTGAGAATTTTTAATATCTTCATTATTACTTTACTGGCTCAGCTTAGCAAGCAGCTTTACTGTCAAGCCTGCCTTGTGATCACTTGCAACACAAATCAACTTTTTTTTTTAATTCTTACTGTAACATAGGCCATAAGTAAAATATATTAAGGTGTGCTTATCTAATTTAGCTTCCTCTAAATGAAAAAAAGCTGAAAAGGCCTGTTAGGTGACAACAATATCTTTGAATGTCACAGCAGAGAAATTAGCATCTGTATTTTCGAAATTAGCAGGCAAAGAAAACTGGAAAATATTTTAAATGTATAAACTGAAATAGATGACTTTGAACTGAAAGCACACAATTATTCATGAGTTTTACTTTTAACTCTACAATCTGCCACTTTGCTTGTAATATACAGGCTTCATGAAACACATGTTTGGCAAATATGTATCCACTGGATGGTTTTCATCCAGGGTGGTGCATCATCCTTGTGTTTGCATTCCAAACATAAGATCAGCCTACGCAAACCCACAAAAAGTCATGACATGCTATGACTTCCCTAAACAGAAATGCATTACTGTGCTCTATCGAGTAAGCCTCAAGCTGCACTTGATCTGCATACATTTATTATCCCTTCTAAAAGGCTTAATACCCAACTGTTCATTAAGGAGTTTTTCTTGGCAAGTCTTGAACACTTCACAGCAAGAAAGGCATCACTGTTCAAGTGAAGAAGCTGAGGAACAGAGAGAGGCTGCCAGAGGTTTGTCAGCACAGCAGTGCTCAGGGTTCAGCTCAGCTCCTTCATCTTGACAGGTCCTGTACATCTTCATGGCATTCTTCTCATTAATCACTGTTCCTGAGTAATACCTCTTGCCTGTGTCAAAGAGCTTCCAGAAAGATTAATTATCAGTGGTGAAACACTGTGTGATCCTCAAACAACAGTCAGCACAGGAATATAAAGTAGGAATTTTTTTATTCCCACAAAGATTTTAATGTAAGTCTGCGGACTTAATTATAGATGGAGTCTGATGGAAGAGGTAAAATAAGGCTGGGATGCAAAGAAGGAATGGCTTCTTAAGCAAAACTGTCCCAATAAAATATTAAGAAGAATATGTTTGGTAAGTAAAAACATGCAACAACATAAGACTTTCCCAGTAACAGTAGCAGAGTGGTAGGTTATCTCTTTATTATTTGATTTGTTCTTGGAGTGTTGCCTCATCTGGCCACCTCTCCCTCCTCTGCTCTGGCCCCTCAGCCAGCATTGTCACGTTCAGTAACTTTTGGATTGGGTCTTCAGGTGGGTAATATTAATGGAATCATAGAACCACAGAATGATTTGTGCTGGAAAGGACCTCAAAGACCATTTCCCACTCTCACTGCCATGGGCATGGACACCTTCCACCAGACCAGATTGTTCACTGACATATTCAACCCTGAACACTTCCAAAGATGGGATATCCATCAACGTCTCTGGACAACATGTTCCAGTGCCTCACTACACTCACAGTAAAAAAACAAGTCTTCCTAATATCTAATTTAAAACTACTCTCTTTCAATTTAAATCCATTATTTAAGCCATAATCTAAGGCTCTGACAGGTTTTTAAATATGAATCCATTAAGTACATAAATCTATAAAATAAACAAGTTGCTTCATCAGAAGATATTTTCTGTTTGAGCCTGGAGTGCACCACCAGCCCTCACTGGCCCTGAGCTTCTGCCCATGGGCTTCACCCCAGCCATGGAGCCCTTTGATCTTGATGCAGACACGCTACTATGCACAGGCAGAGATCCTGGCATTGCCTTGACTTATATGGTCAAATTATATTTTTCTGAAGCATTTCTTCAGTGCCAGCAGTACAAGCAACATAAGCTTGACAGTTCTTTGATTTCGACCTCTGGCAAAATCCTCATTTTTGATCAGCATCCTGAGTATTGGAGGTGGCTGCCTGACGCGAACCCCATTGCCTCAGGATACCACGATCAGTGGCTAAAATCTCTTCTTGTTGGAGTGAGTCATCAGGAATAATTTCGTAACCATAATCAGAATAAGAGTCAGGAGAAAAAATTTTGTAATTCCAAAGCTGGCCAAACCAGCTTCTTTCTTACAGGTCATGACAAGCAGGAACTAACTATAGAAAGCAACTACCAAGGTCCTAATGCTGTAAAGAGAATGTGACAAATTCATTTTGTGAAGGAAGACTGTGAAAAACTTTCAGGTAGAATATTTCTTTGAAGTTAGAGAAAAACAAAAATAGAAGGTGGAATCTAATCAGATCATAAAATTCAAGCACAATGATCCAGATGCTTTCAATTGCATGAGAACTGAAGCAAAACAATAGACTGAAACATTTACTGACACCTGCCCTTCTTCTGGACAATGCCAACATTTCCCTCTCCTTTTGTTATGTCTATTCTGTTGTGGAAAAGGTGTGAAAAGGCAAAAGGTGCTGTTTTGAGACTTCAAGGGAGAAAGAGTATAAAGCTATAGAAATTTTAGAAAGAGAAAAAAAAAAGACTGAAAACCTCCTTCAGAAATTATTCAGATTGATTTTTAAAATAATTATTTCTGGTGATTAACCAAGCAATAAAAAGAAAAGGACATCAACACAGAATGACTGCCTGAGAGTAAGACAGGAGTCCACAGTGAAATCTCTTTGACTATGTAAACATAAACCTTGACAGATGGGCAGTTTGTATGAGGACATCTGTGCAGCATGGTAAATTATACTGCAATAAACCTAAAGACTGCTTGGATTTCAATGCCAGCTTCCTCTGATAATAACATCAGATGACCACAAGGAGTAAGATTCTGTGAAGCAGAATTTTAAATGCTAATTACTATTCCTGAGACTGTACCTAGACATTTTTTAAGAACCTAATTTAAGGAGGATAGTTGGTTAAATAGCTGAACAGCTCAGACTTTATACACACCGTGGTCAGTCTAGAAACAAAACCACATTAGAGTCTCAGAAAATATTTGCTCCTAATAGGAGCTGCAGTCACTTCAGAGAACTCTGAAGATAAATGACAAAAGAAATAAATTAGTGAAGCTCTCCACAGAAAAAACAGACTGAAATAAATTAATTTTACTCTATTTTTTTTTATCAGCTTCCATAAAAGAAAGAGTTGGATATATACTGATGACAGCAAGAATGAAAAAAAAAATTAGTGGGGCAGAAAGAATTCCACTGTTTTTTTTTTTTTTTTTAATTGGTTGGGTTTTGTGTTTGTTGCTGTTGGCTTTGTTGTTTGTTTTAATCTGGATAAAGTTGTGAAGAGATTTAGCTGTGCAGGTGGTATTATCTCAGAGTTATCTCTGCTATTGCTGCTTTTAAGCTAGTATGCTATTTCTTGGCATTACGTCTAACCTTTCTTCTGGGAGTACCCCTGTTTTGACAAAGAAATAAAATTACTGTAATAATGTTTTCTGTGGGTGGTCCTCAATGACTTAGAGAATTTGAGAAAATGCTTGCAAACTCATGTCCTCGGGCACATCTGCATTTAGTGTTCACAAATTTTGAATATTAGGTTTCTGAAAATATGACCCAAATATCCAGTCACTAAAATGCAGACAGTAGTATCGTTTGTCCATGGTTTAATTTTTTATCTAAATGTTGAATGGGGCTACCACCCTTTAACCGTGTATCTGCGTGATCACAAGGGTCTGAGGTCCTACAGCTTTTGAGCTGAATTTATGAGAAACAAGGCTGGATTCTGCAGGTGAGTGTTACCAGTTTGTCACGACAACAGCAGTCAAGTTTTCTGACAAAAGGCTACCACGACGTCACTCTGCAATTTTCAATCTCCAATTGAACACAGCTTGTGGCCCTTAAAATGATGCAGATTTAAATAAGGCAGAAATTAATATTTCTAAGTGAGAATCAGGTTATGTGACAAATGAAATTAACTTCTCAGGCTTTTAATATTCCTAGTCTAGTATTAAAAAGGAAACTAAAATCCATGACAAAATGTGTTTGAATGTGTTTGTACAAGTTTCTGGACACACACCTAAAATGTATATATGTGCATTGTGTTAGATAAATAATTTTGTCATTAAGATTATTAAATTAATTGGTTTTGGGCGCATTGCTAGTTGTCATATGGTATGGATGAGTTTTTGTGTGTGACAAATAAATTAGAAGCAGCTAACTTCTATTTCTGAGCAAGATAGGAAGAATAAGTTGATTTTACAGTATTTAAAGACTTGAACAAGTATGATTTCTCCAGTGTAATTAAATAGGAATTGTTCCATGAATACAATGTGCTTAAAACATTATGAAGCTGGAAGAGACTGAGAAAGAAGTCTGTGACTTAAAAATAAGAACAAAAATTTTATAAAAGGGAACCATAAAATATGTTACCAAAATCACTCATGAGACTCATTTTATGGGTTTTTTCTAGCTGAAATTCTAACTAATTCTTTGCACAGACCATTTCTGATTATAATACAATCAAGAAACCTATTTACTCCATAATAAGAAAATAGTATGTATTTTCCCATGCATGGAACATACCCATGTACTGGTCCAACTTTGTTCAGGAAGCAATTATGTTTGTTTAAAGGAAATTACTCATTTCTGGGAGAACAGAAAGGTTTACGCCCCAGAGTGGACACTCTGGACAAAATCTCAATGAGTAGGTACTATTTCTTTCATGTAATAGCCCCATGATCCATATTTCCTGATGATGTTACTGGAGCTTGTTTTTCCTTCGAGGACCTTTAGTTCCATAAACAACGATTGCCATTACAACCCCTTGATGCTGAGGTGGAAAATGAGCATGCTTTAAAATCTATAATTAAGATCCAAGGTCCAGCATATTGACCACATCATGTGGACCTGATTATTGGCTTCATATTTTTTGCTAGACCACTTCTGGTTTTAGTTTAAATGCAAGGGAAATGAAAAGGACTCTCTTGCTTATTCATACAAGAGCACATTTAAATAATTACTAGCAAGTGAGATGCACTAATAAAGTAGGAGTGGCAGTACTCCTTTAGCTCTGTGCAACACAATCTCACCAAACACAAACAAAAATCTTTTAGTTCTTTTATATTTGCCTTTCTGTTCAAAGGTAACTGATGCTCTTTTTGTTCTGATATGCCGTGCATGCATAAAATAAGACAGATACAATTTTCTGTATTTTGCTAGAGAGTGAGTGCAGAAGAAGATGGTGTGTGCTGTAAAATTGCAGGCAGAGCAAAAGAATTGGGGTCTCCCATGAAGGAACAACATACGTGTTCCTGTGCACCTTACTCAGATTTTCAGCTTTGTGTCATGAGGCAGAAGAGCTTAACCCATGGTGTGGGCTCTTCATCCAAAGCTTCTCTCTGTCGCTACAGGTTCCTGAAGATGCCAGCCCTTTTCAGCCATTTGGTCTGAGAGTCTCAGGCTTAATGATGGTCACATTACACGAGAACTGTACTCAAACAAGAGACCTGTATGAGTATTCCTACTGAAATCCGTAGTGTGGCACAGACAACAGCTGTGTTGGGCTCTTGGAGTGGCCACTCACTGCCTAGGCAGCAGCTGGCTAATCCCCACTTTCTCCAGTGAGTAGTTTGGAGACAACAGAGGGAACTGAATATAATATATGTCATCAGGGAGATGCCAGGCTTTGCTATTTCTCTTGCTCCAGAATGTGTTTTAATGTTCTTCTTCCCACTTTCACACCAGGTACTCTGGTAAAATGCATGCAAAAGAGCTCTTGACCTTCAATATGGATAGCCCCTGGTTCCTTCACTGCTGGTATAATTAGACCAGGGATGTAAGGAAGGACTTCCACTTGTCTGCTAATCTTAGTACCTACATACTTAATGCCTTTGCATTCACTTTTTTTTTTTTTTTTTTTTACATACTTAATGTCTTTGCATTCACTTTATTTTTTTTTTTTTTTTGTAGCATTGTTGCCATTAGAAAATATATTGCTGTGATTTAACTTTTACATGCATTCTTCACAAATTAAAAATCTATAGATAACAGGCAAAGCTAACTCAGGGAAGTGGGACTGTTGTATTTTCATAACCCATCCAAGCCCATTCTTTCAGCTGGGATGGTGTGTTTGCCTTCAGAAAATATTGTACTACAGGTCAGATCTAAGTATTTTTAGTATTTTCCCATAACATTCGTAGATGTCAGCCTGTGGGAAGGAAGGAAGACTCTAATCAAAACAAATTGAATCTCTTGCCTCCTACAGTGAGACAAAATGCCACAGAAAGGTCTATTTTTATTGATTTCTAATCTTGAAAGAATTCTGACATTTATTTGTTATTTATTACCCTCAATGGGATGGAAAGGGTTTGACAATTGATGGTGCAAATAAGTTAATATATTCAGGCAGGTTGGTCAGTGCTGCCAGGCTTGCAACATGGCAGCAACATTTGAAAAGTGAACCTGAGAAGCTGAGTAACCGCACCAGTTGTTTTCTCTTCCCAAGCTCGGATGTTGCAACAGTTCTGCCATTCTTAGTGTTTCAACCAGTTCAGGTATGTGGACTTTCCAACTGCAATTACACCCTTAGCTGATAGCACTGATGTGCCTAAGGATAATCAGTTCAGGTCTTGGGTGTGAAATAGTTTTGGCAGCCAGCAGAAGAGACTTTGTTTCCTGCCGAATCTGTAAGTGCTTCAGCACGTCCACAGGGACCTCACACAGAACAATAGTGAGAACTGCAGATACATGGAGCAGTATAAGAAAAAACAGGACTGTGTTTGTCATCTCTCCTGTCTTTTAACTCCAGTGTACATTATTCACATGACTAAGTGACACAGGGTCTCAAATTCAAACTAGTCTGTAATTTTCTCCCCATAAAGGGCACAGCTGATTAACTGAGACCACAACTGATTTTGGGTAAAAAGCTTTGTAAGCCTTAGTTGAGCAGAGGTGCATGGTTTACTGACTAGCAACAAATGCTGTTCCCTTTACCTGTGTACCATTCAATACCTGATGGAGTAAATGTGAACCATCTCAGACATATCAGTCTTTGTTACTGGCTAAACACGTGATCCGTCAGTCAACATTAATATAGATTATACATATAGATTTATAGGTACTATACCTATAGATTTATATATAGATTTATATATATAGATTATACCTACACTGGGAACTTGAGGAGCATTCTGAGCAATCAGATCTGAGAGTCTCAGTTGCCTTCCAGGTCCGTATAGGGGAGGCCCCTCACGTTGCACAGCTTCCCCACTGCAGGTGTAGGTGTGCACACAGGTTTGTGGCCCAGGTGGGACCTATGTTTCATGATCTCAGTTGCATGATCTCAGTTACTGGGGAGAATCCTGAGCTGTGCCTGAGTGCACCTCAAATGGGCAGTGAAGACACAGTCAAACCTATTCAGGTTTGGCTGAATTACCAGAGATCAGCCAAGCTGCAGGAACTCAGGAAATTACCATGAAATTCATTGGAAGAAGTTTCTGTGAAGTTTATTTCATTTGGATTGGGCTGAAACACTCCCAGACAATTAGTTGTTGAAGCTCAAATACATAGGAGTCTTCATGTAACATATCTAAGTCTGGAAATTCCAAAAGCTAGAGCGTAGCTAAAAATGGAATACTGAAGTGAGCATTCATGTTTCTGAACTGTATCAGATTTCACTTTCCTTGTGCAATATGGTTCTTGGGTCTGTTATGCTTCTGTCAACACATGTCCATCAAGGTAGTCTAGCTAACTAACTCAAGATAATTGGACATAAAGGAAATGCTGGATGGGAAGAGGAATTATGTCATCTGGTCTGGCTGTGGTGGTCCAGTAGTTTACAGATGCTATCACAGAGGATTACAATTTAGAAAATAATTAAGTGGCCTATAAAAGGGTGAATCATGCCATAGACATCCCTTTCATAAGTACTTAGACCAGCTTTTCACCAGCACAGCCAAGCCTTTCTCATATCATGTCTTGACTGGGACTGAGAGGAGATTCTTGTAAATATCCCAGAAACATGGTGAATACTTTGATGATAAAATTCAGTGGCTTTTGCCACAGACTTAAAATTATTAAGTTTGCTTGTCAAAGTGGATTAAATAGTTTCCAGAGTCGTAAGACCGTGCCCAGAGCCCACAGCAACTTTCAGCAATGACTTCTCCCCCCAAGCAGAGCCTGATCTGGCTCTAAATTAATATGTGTATAAATGAAGAATGATTAGGCTGACTACCCTTGTAATTAAAATAGTAGAGTATTTGTAAATTGGCTTGCTCATGCTCAGATTGTCTGAACAGAACTATTCAACCTATGACAGTTACAGAACAAGAAAGTCTGCATGCCAAGAGGTGAGAGACTGCATGAATCACCACTGCTCGCAGCACAACACAGCACAGTCCTACTGCTCTGCTCTTTCTGTGCCATGCTAATTGATGAAGACCTCTAAATAATTCCTTATTTGTTAAAATCAAACTATTAAACTAAATTAAGACAAGATGTTTTTCACTGCCCATCACTGCAAGGTCTCCTAGGGACTTCATTTAAGTCAGGAGTGGTGGGAAGATCAGCAGCAGCTGCTATTTTGGAACTAGCGATTAATGATTGATTTCTTCCTGCAGCCAATACTGTACTAAAAGTTTCTGCAGAATTGCTAATATACAAAAAAGAAAAGGTTACAAGTACACCACATGGCAGATGCACACAAAGATAATTCTATTTGGTTTGACCTCAAGAAAAGTTTTAAAGAATATTTTGCTGAAAGAAGTTATGTTTGAATATAGTAAAATGACTCAGTATGAAAAGGCTACACTTTCCCTATTGCTATTAATTAATCAAAAATATATAAAAAAATTATTCAATTCTTAATTAGTCCTGCATGAAAAGGTACGCCTGTGTGTGGAATACATTTACTAAGGTAAATAAAGTATTAGTTTATAATTATTAAATCATATGCACCAATATAAAAGCACAAACACCTTTAAACTGAATCAGAATTAGTTTTTACAATAAAACTCATAGATTTCAAAATACCAATAACTAAGAAAAGCTTTAAAACATGAAGGCATTATTTGACTACGGGTCTCTTTGGGAACTAAGTTCCCCTGCAAGCTCTCATTTTACAGCTTCTATTTTAAAAAGTTTATACTCAAGCCTCAGCTTGTGAATAATTTTAGGGAAGAAACACAAGCATGAAAATAAGAAATTATAATAAACTTCAACTAGCACAGCTATTATGAACAATCATCCAGGAGATATGTATCTCTTTAGAAACTGGTGAAGTACATATAAACACTTTTGAATGCTTCTCATGAAAGAGTAGCTCCAAAAACCAAAAATGCTAGCAAGCATTTCCAAATAAACAAGCATCCCTTTTCAGGGTTGGGAGCTTAGATTTTTTTGGTTTGAGTTTTTTTGGTTTTTTTTTTTTCTTTTCTTTTTTAATAATCTAGCCTTTGACATAAGCCAAGGTAAAGATCACTTACCTCTTACAAGGACTAGAAGGAAGCCAAGGCACAAAATAAAAATACTTCTGAATTTCTCCATGCTCTTCTATGCAGTGCCTTGATTGCACCAGTTCGTTTTTTCCAGGCAGTGATGATAGATATTGCAACTGCAGTGCCAATGTTTGAGGGATTCAGCAACTCCCAAAGGTCCAAAAAGGTTTCTCACCACTACGCCCAAGCTCTGCAAGAGAATGAGAAACCTTCTTGCTTACAAGGCAAGTAACAAAAACAAGCAACCCTGCTACAGCCAAGCTGTGAGCAGCACGTTAGGTGCCACCTGTGCCCCAAGAAACTTATTTATCGTCCAGGCAGGAAGCACAGAGAGCTGGGGAAGCAGTGGCAGCACCCAATGAGGAGGGTGCCTGAACACTCTGGATCCACCTCCTTCCCAGAGGGGAAAGCCAACCTGTTTGACATCCTTGCCTTCCAAGTAGGGTGTGGTGCTGTGGGAGCTCAAGTAGCTTGTAAGAGGAGACTGTCTTTCTCTGAAGCATGCTTGAAAGAATCACTCAGACATACTCTGTCCTCAAAGCAGCACTTTCCTGCTTGTTTTTTGGCTCAGCAATAACAGCTGATAAAAGCAATCCTGTCAGACTTAACGCCTCACTCAGGTCACAAAGTAGAGGAAATGGATGGAGTTTAGGAATCTTTGCAGAAACTTGGAATTGGCTACAGAGGGATGACAAAAAAACCCTAGTATCATAAATTTAAAATGTGATGTTGGACTACTGAACTGAGGCATGCTACGCTCCCCAGTAGATGCTTAACTTCAGAGGTAAACATTGCACATCATGACTGTTTCTATTGATCTAGTTTTTTGGGTTTTTTTTAAAAATATAAATATCCATGCATATCCTTCATGGGGAGAGAGTCAGATAGTGCTGACTGTGATGGTACAAAGCTTTGGAAGATGAAAAAAAATCATGCATCTATCTATACATGGACTTCCTTTTAAATTACTGATGTGATTTAAATCCAGTTTTGTCATAGCATCATAGCTATCTCATGCATTTGTCTGGCAAACACGTACGCCTATAGCCTTGTCCTTTGAACTGGATTGCAGCCATCACCCTGGTGCCCAGCACCAGCAGGGTGACTGGGGTGCATCCTCCCTTGTGCTGGGGGATGAGTGCAGGGGCTTTTGTCAGAGCTGTTTTGTCTAGGGCAGCAAAAAAAAGCTCAGGAATCTGCTACCATGTGTGGCCAGTCTGAGCACTTGTGGTGTTGCAGGGTGGTTCAGTCTGGCACAGACTGCCTCCAACAGCATTTCTGTTGATGCACCCAGAACACAGAGCTGAACTCATGCTTTCATGGTAACAAAACCAAATGTGACAACGTAAGATGGACTGATAGAACTCGGTGGTACTGGGTCCTCATGAAGCTTGGTCTTCAAGCAGGTCAGCTTCCTCCCTCTCCCCGGCCCAAATTTGAAACAGCAGAATGGTTTATGAAGATCTGGCTCAAAGCTACTAATAGAAGCTCTAAAGTTCAATTTGAGTATCATCATTCTCCATGTCAGGGCAAATTGCTCAGTCTCAGAACAGCTAAGAACATTTAGGCTGAAGAGATGACTTTTTCAGTCAGTTAAAACAAGAACTATACCATGAAATGAGCAATCCCATAAATCCAATGGCTGTTTGTTTTTTCTTTCCAGAATGCCAAAAGCACGCCCGCATGTGCTGATCTTCATACAATGATGAATTTGCCTGAAGGGAACAGGAATGTTGGCAAAGTTAGGTACTAGTCCCAGGCAGGTCCAAACAGCTTACACATGTTCAATAGCTTTACTTCAAAACAGTTGCTCCTGCAAGTGAAGTCTTCTCAAAATGCATTGTCTCACCTGCCTGCTGATACTACTTCATTGTGATATTGAACATTCTCAGACAAAGTCTGAAGATGATGCACATCTTGTTCAGTCTTTCTGAACCCAGCTATTGCCCTAACTCAATAACAAGAGGAAAGTGGGCAGCACTGGAAGGAGGGGATGTAGTGTAGGAGTCACTCGAATGCTTATCCCCCTCCTGTTCTTGGGAGCATTACAGGAACTTCCTAATCTCGGTGCTGTCAAAAACATACAACAGCTTGCCCAAGATATCAAGTAAAAAATACTGTATATTACAAATAAATATATGAGCTAATATCTGACCCTAAATAGCAGTTTTAGCACTTGAAAAATCATTGACCCATCTTTTTCTGCATAAACAAAGTTCTCTCTACTATTCACCTGACAAGGTGGATGAGTTGCCTACATTTTGTTTTTACTTTTTACTGGTCTTTTAAGGAAAACTCCAATATTTCAGAAACTCAAATGGATGTAGAAAAGGAGACAGCATGTCTGCCTGTTCTCTACACCACATACTTTTACCCCATCAGGTCTCTTTTGGATGAGACAAACTAAAAGGGAACAAGAGTTCAGTCAGAACTCATCACAGTGGCAGCCTCATCAGGTCAGACATTGCTCTCTTTGGTATGGGTAACTTGCTGTATGCATCTATTGGAGATGAAAGAACTGAATTATACACTAGAACTACTTGGGAATGCCACTAATAGCCTACACTACTCTTTTTTTTCCATAAAAACAGAAGTACTTTAATTAAAATATTGAAGCATCCAGTAATATAAACCATTAATTTAAATGTAAGCCAAACACACAAGTGAACTGGTGATACAATTTCTTGACAACAGAAGAATAAAACTACTACGTACTAGCTAAAGCTTCAATGACTTTTCACAAGCAGGTGGAGGAACATGTGTTTTAGTCTTGTGGTTATTAAAGTACTCCAAATACAGAGATTTGGGAAAACTGTGGGTTTCCTCCATTTAAGTCCTCTCCCCATTCCTAATTATCACTTCCTTTTAAACATGTCTTTGTAACTGTGTAACAGAAAAGAGCAAAAAGGAAGTAACATTTTCAACTTGCCTCTCAAGTGAAAAACACACATAAAACATGTGGTTGAGATTGTGGCCTAAAGTGAAAAAAAAAAAAAAAAAAAAGAAAAAAAAAAGCCAACACAGAAAAGCAGCATTGAAAGTGTAATTCAGCCCAAGATATACTGAAAACTGAGCGCACTAAAATGTTTTTCTTAGCATTCAAAATTTGGCACAGATACTGAAATAAGCACAAATAAGAGCTACAGCAAAAAGCTGCCAAATGTTATGCTTAAGATTTGCTTGCTTTCATTTGCACAATCCAATGAATTCGTTTGGATAACTTCGAATAAGTATTTGAAATGAACATTGCATTTGAAAACCATCAAAACATTTTTCTTTTCCACCAATAGGATGAATAAACTGCCACTGCAGCCACCTTGTAGAAGCTAAAGTGATGTATTACTTATTGTTCTACAAGATCCTGCTTTATTTTTCCTCCTATTACTGATGGTAACTCATCCTCACAGGAGGTAGACTAGAATAGGAATTGGAAGAGAAGAGGGTGTGCCACAGGAACAGGACAGCGCTCTTTGCTGTGACCCATTTTAACTCAGTTTAATGGTAAAGGTACCTCACAGGGATCAAGTTGCAGTTTGGACTCAGAAAGGACAGTACATTTTTCATTCCACTGCACAGTCTGATTGAAACATGTATAGAAACGACATTAATTCCCACATCTGAAAGTCAACAGCAGCTCATAAGGCCACGATGGGCTGCAGCTATCTGTGGGATGTGACTGCAAAATTACTTCAGTAGAGTAGTGAATAATGGTTAACTATAATGTTTCCTGTCCCAGAAAGTGGGACAATAATGAATTGGAAATTTAACTCTGCAGCGCAATGACAGCTGAGCAAGAAAGAAAAAAGATCAAATTTTCTGTGGATAGTGAGGCAAACAGCAATGCAACAATTAATACCCCAATAATTGCAAGTGAACTGCTATGTTTTTTCCACAGATAAGTAACAGAAACCCATAAACTCACAAGAAAACAGACTGAAATTTCAAGTTTTCTGTTTAACCTTTTATATCCAGGGGCAGCAGCCAGTCTTTCTTCCACAACTCCAGACTGTGGAACCACAACTGAACAAATCAGTAAGTTGGAAAAATCAGTAAATTTGTTACTATTCAGGCACTTGGCAACCCCTGCTTTGCCTTTTCATTCTCTTACGGTCCTCTCACATCAGAAGGTGAGACAACACATGGCCCTGCAAAAGTGTCTACTGCTCCAGGATCTGATAACTGGATGAGGAAAACTGAACGCTTTTAAGTTTGTCCATAATAAGACATCTAAGTGCATCTTTTCAGCAGATCTTGGGTTACCAAATCTTTTTCTTCAAAAGCCATGCCTGTCCTTCACACAGACAGATGTCTTCCCTTCACACAGGTAAGCAGCTCAAAGCTTTGCTGCTTCTGGCTAACTTCATTCCAAAATTATTAAAATGTCTGTAGGAAATAAACCTGAGCTGCTGAGGGTACACTATTTATTTTATTTATTTTAACTTTATTTTTAACTTATTTAAAGGATCCTTCCCTAGGTGAGTGAGCACCAAGCTTTTTTATTTTCAGAACTACTGAGAAGAAGAACACACAAACCTTTTTTTAATATTTATTTTTAGAAAAATCACAATGTTGATAGGTCTTAGTAATTTTTAGGCTCACAAAAGCTGAAAAAGGATTCAAGAGTCTTGGTTAGCTAAAACCTAGTTTAAGCTCCTCCTGCCATTTTTATCCCTAACAAACACTGAGTTATTTTTATTTACTCAACACTTGGCATAGATCTATCTGTTTATTCATGTAGGCAAGCAGTACATTTCTTTTCTTTGTATTTACATAAATCAAATGCTTATGTAGGAATCACTTTTGCACTCTCAAACACACTTTAAGGTTTTAGCACTTTTATACTAGAAGCAGACATAGGGCAAAAAGAGACTTACAAATTAATTCCATAAGAAAATACTAAAATTTGAGTAAAGCTTTGTTGCAAGCTAAGAAACATGTACAAGAAATTCTTAAATGAATTATCCTTGACATACATTCGCATTTGAATGTACAGATATATTTACAGGTTTAATATCCAAATTCATTAATTTCTAAGTTCTAAGATGTTCCATGAAATGTCATCTTCCTGTAGAACTTTGTCAGGTGGCTGAAGCCCATTAATAAGACACATATGGTAAAACTGCATTAAAATTTAAAACAACTAGAATGAAAGCCAACAAAACTGGTCAGACCATTCCTTCCTGACAGAACTAGTTATTATTCCACATTTAGTCCTTTAGTTGTTCTGAGCTGTAGTTTTCCATGTTTCCACAGATTCTTAAAACCTTCCTGTTGCTTTCAAGAGCCACAGCACTGGTCACAAGTGCTTTCCGAGGAGGATGCAACCATAGATGATCACCCTAGGGGAAACCTTCACAAGTCCAAAAGCACTTCTCACGTGTTTGCTATTTCTATTGTTCAGTGGATGCCTGTGGAGTGAGGCTGGCTTGCTCTGGTCACTCTTGCTGTTTGTAGTTTAGAACTGTGGCAACTCTTTCTGTCCCTTACACATGTATGATAAGCCTTCTGAATTCAACACTATTTTTACTTAAGCTTTTGGCTATGGAAGTCTGAAAATGTTAATCCCCATTCCCAAGTTCTTCATCCACGACTTTTTAGACGATGCCAAACATCAATGTCACCAGAAATACAGAGTCCAATTATGTTTCTGATCTGCAAAACAGGCTTTTCTACAACTGACCAGCTCAGAACTTGCCAAGCAGGAAGAGCCAGAAAGGATGAAGGCTCGGTGTGCATTAACTTTGGGTTTTCTCAATCTGTACCAGACAGATGAAACGAAAAAAAATCTAAAAACAAACCAGAACTTTTGTCTCCTGAATGCTCAAGCACAAGCAGCTCTTCCCTGGCAGCTGGCCCAGGCAGCTACACAGATTGGATCAGCAGCACCCACACCCAGACCCACCATCCATACACAGTGAGCCATTTGCTTTCAGGTGCCCACAACATACACCAAGATGGTTAGTTGGTCCACTCACTGAGTTTGGGTTATTTAAAAAAATGCTTGTATTGCCTGTGAGCAATAACATAACAGAAACCATAACTGCATATTGGTTTTGGAGAGGTAAGGAAAAGTTAAACACACTGAATGCACTAGAGACACACCTATTTGTCAGAAGAGTCAAGGAAAGAATGTAAAGGCACAACATACTTCTACACTCCTATCATTAAGGCCAGTATTGGTGTGCACCAATGCTTCACAGGGCTAACCGTACAGAAGTACTCAGGTCTAAGTCACAGTCCCAGAGGTGTTTCAAATAAGAGCTGTTTTCTCATGAAACTTTGGGCTCTGTTGTTTGTTATGCTTTTTTTGTTTCCTTTTCTTTTTTTCTTTTTTTTTTTTTTTTTTTTTTTTTTTGTTGGCAGAATGCAGGTTGTTTATCCAGTTTCAACGATCTGTTCTTCACCACTCTTCCTTTAATTTAGTTCTCCAGAAGTGTGCGCTGAACTGAAAAGTGAAAAACAATTCAAGATTAGTGCACTAGGTTAGCACACAATGGAAGTTAGACATTATTATGCAACAGTTTATGCAGTCAACAACTTTCAGCAGATGTTTGACACTGTGTGATAAATTTAGGGAAGGAGGCTTGATTCTGTGAAGCCACAAGGCTGCATAGCAAGGAATATTACACCCCAGATTTCTCACTCAAATAACCACATCCTGCTACAGACAGAGAAGCTAGCTACACTTGCAGTGTAACCCCCACTCAGCTCAGGGTGGCAGTCTTGCAGATGCAAACAGGCTGCTCAAAAAGTAAGCTACTGAAAATAAGCTCTTAGGTTCAGGAAGTCAAAGACAGGTTTACACAAAATTTTAAAACCACAGATCTATCCTGCTATGCCATTTGTCCTGGCTTAATGAGAGACTGCTTCTAACTGGAAGCCATGTAGGTACATCTATTACCAGAAGCAGAGCTAACATCTGCTGACTCCCAGAACTCAGATCAGGAGCAGCACCATGATGACCACGGCTGCCCAGTCTCTTAGCTCAACACATGACCATGCTTGTCTGCAAAATGTAACAGAGGTATGAACTCTGGGACATAATATGACATCAATACTAGATTAGATTAGATCAATAGATAGAAGTAACCATATTTGACAACATCCCAAGTGTGACTTTACTGGTTACAGTAAGGCTGCATCATCTGATGCATTTCACTTTTGAGTTTTGGTGAATCTTGGCCACAATTTCAGCATAACCCAACTACAGGCCGTATTTTAACTGCCTTTGGTAGAGGACTTTAAATAATACTACTTGCTTCCCTAATGCACAGCTGAATTGACAATACCTGAGTCTCTTCAGTCCTTACAGCCAGTCACAAGAAAATGTTTTGTACTTGAGAGTTTAATATATTTAACAGCTTAAAGTATTTATAAAGAAGATAATGAACCAGATGAAAGTTTATAACAAACTGATGAAATAACCTGAGAAAAATAAGGCATAATTATTTTTAATTATAAAAAAACCCCCCAGAAATAGTTTTTTTCAGGTTTAAGATTAAACTCACAGAATGTACTGCATATATATACTGCTTTGAGATTTTAATACTCAGTACTTCAAAACCAATGAACTTCGCACAAGGTTATAGTGCTTCTTCCTTTGTAGACCAGTCACAAGGGTTATAAGGCCAAGTTTTCACCTAAACCACTTCCTGCAGCTCTATCCATGGATTCATGGAGCTTATCAGCCAAATTCCTTACATAACCATATGTGGAAGGGTGAGGTTCTCAGTGTCTGTAGCTTTAAAAGAGATCCTTCCACAGCTCTCATCTTTGTAGGAAGATTAATTATGTGATGGTTCTTTCATACAAGAATCATTCTCTGTTCACACAGAGAATGCTTTAATTACAACATGATAGCGAGTTCAGTCCTCTTCGCCTCCAGTGTAGTTTCATCTCTGTCCAAATATCATGAGTTTTTTAATATACATTCTTGCAGTGTTCTATATCAGTTTATAATTAGAAAAAATTTCAGATTCTAATCAGAAAAACTATACACTAATAAAATTTTAACTGCAGTTATTCATCACACTGACGGAGCAGGTTTGTATTTTCACAATTGCCTCTAATGATACTTTTGCAGAGAAAATTCAATTTTTCACTTTCTCTAAGTTCCTATGTTTAAATGCATTCTCAATGCAATAAACCAATCTGTTCAATAAAAAACTCTAGAAAAGTGGCCATATTGTCAGAATTGAATGCTTGATTCAGTTCTAAATTTGTCATCATGGTAAAATCATAGAATCACAGAATCATTTATGCTGGAAAAGACCTTTTAGATCATCCATTTTAACTCTTTACCCCAGGACTGCCAAGTCCACCACTAAGCCATGTCCCTGTGTGCCACATCTATATATCTTTGAAATACCTCCACAGATGACAACTCCTGTGCTTTCCTGAGGAGTTTCTGAGCAGCCTGTTCCAATGCTTGACAAACCTCCACAGGAAGAAATTTTTCCAAATATCTAAACTAAACCTCCTCTTTAAAATTTTGAGGCCATTCCCTCTTGTCCTATCACTTGTTACCCTGGGAGAAGTGACTGACACACACCTGGCTACAACCTCCTTTCAGGTAGAGAGTGAAAAGATGACTCCTGAGCCTTCTTTTCTCCAGGGTAACCATCTCCAACCCCACAGTCACTCCTCATAACACATGTGCTCCAGAGCCTTCCCCAGATCCACTGCCCTTCTCTGGACATGCTGCAGCACCTCAGTGTCTTTGCTGAAGTGAGGGGCTCAGAACTGGACACAGGACTTGAGATGTGGCCTCACCAGAGCCAAGCACAAAGGGGACAATCACAGCCCTGGTCTGGTGGCCACACTATTGCTCATACAGGCCAGGATGGCAGTGGCCTTCTTGGCTACCTAGGCACACTGTTAGCTCATATTCTGCCAATTTTTTTTTTTTTTACAAAACAGCACAATTAATTTTCTCCAGTATGTTAGATGTCAATAAAGTGCATTTAATAGGATCGCCATTGATCCTATTAAATTCTTGTCTTACCAGGTGGCTCAGATTGTGCTCCCCTGTGGCTATCCATATTCACATTCTCTTCATCTGCTGGGAAAAAACATAGATATTCAGCATTCAAATTCTCTTATATTTGAGGTTCTTCATAAATAGACATAATTTGAGAGGAGAAACAGCAGTGAAAAAAATGGGCTACTGACAGTAGTTGAGTTGCCCTGTTTTGTCTGCACATTAATTTTAACATACATGGTAGATGTGTTTTTCAGTTTCCAAACTTCCCAAATTACAAAACAGCAATGCCTGGCTGAATGACTGCTCTATCCCTTCAGTAAACAGTCAGAAAGTGAAACAGACAAAACCAAAGCTTCTGCCCATCCTATCACCCACAGTACTTCCAAAGCTCTCTTATCCAAATTACACCTTATTTAGGTGAAAAGGA